CCAGGGTTGCAATTTAAGCTCCGCCCCCGACTCCGCCCACTTTTCTCCGGAGTTTTTTTTTCCCAGGAATTTGCGGGGTCTCTAAGTTTCGAGTGAATTATAGACATATCAAGCAGTCCCTGATACGAGTGGTAAACACCTACTGATATTTTTTGATACTTATTGAAAACTTGAAAAAAACGTAAGGGGGGACCCTTACGTGATATTCACCTACTGATATTTTTAAAAAATTGAGAAAAAACACCAAAGAGGGGACCCTTATGAAAATTTTCGCCTCCTGATATTTTTAGAATAATTGCAAAAAGCACATAAGGGGAAATCCTCATCTGTTATTTTACACCCACTGATATTTCGTCGTCCAAATTTTCAGTATCAGGGACTGCATAGCAAGAGTGATCAGAAAAGAAGGAATATGAAAAAAATAGTAGGAATACGTTTAGTCAATAGAAACAAATGCTATTTTCAAACCTCTATTTTCAACAGGATAGCAGTGGAGAAAATAAGTATTGATGGAATAAAATAACCAAGCGATGCTAACCGCAAGCTAGGCAGTCAGTCAAAAGACTAATCCCTTGGCACACCGCAACGCATGAGATTAATTCAAGCTCTTTCGTCAGGAGCCTCTCGTCTTCTGCGTCTCTTGGACATGTCATTATGCTAATACTTCTCATATTGGCAATCGTATGAAGATAACATAAGCAGATATCGATACAAGGAATGAAGCACCTGCTCTAATCATCCTCTCTTCAGTTGTGCTATTTTTTCGCATTCAAGTTCCTTCTTAATCCGCTCCTTCACCTGAACCCGTTTTCAGTGAAAAACAGTCAAAAATGGAGCCTAGGACAGAAATAAGTAAAGAGAAGACGAGTGTGCCCGTTTGTATGCCGAATAATAATGAGCGGTGCGAGGCATGAAATCAGATTAAAACCTCCATACCTTTTTCCATTTCGGGGTTTCAGTTAATCGATTGGTTGGGGGAACAACCGGGATGAGTCATTTTGGAGGAGAAAATGACTGGAAAAACTCCGCTGTGTGATAAGACGGAGGAAACCGAAACATTTGACAAGATGAAGAGAAAAAGAGAAAAGGAAAACATATTGACGATTACTCCTAACAACATGCGAAGGAAACAAAAATTATCAGCTGCCCAGAAAACAACAAAAAACATAAGAATGCCTCATAGCTAAAAATCATTCAAAAATGCTAAAACTCGTAAAGAAAAAAGAGAGTATTGAAGAAAAAATGTAACATTGTTGATGTGATAGGAAAAAATCCAAGAGATGAAAAACGAGCAAGGAAAGAAGCGTGTTTGGATTAAAAAAACAATATACATCCGTCTTCTAAGCGGCAAAATGGAGAGATGAATCCCTCACTCATGTGCGAGTGTGTGTGCGGGCCAGCGAGTGTCAACGACGTGTGTAGCGCGAAGCGACGACAGCATCAGCCAGTGGAGAAGCAGAAGACATGGTGGGGGAGTAAAAGGAAGACGTCGAGAAGGAGCGTACGAGTAGATATCAGTGTTCTTTCAAAGGAGCGCGAGAAGGAGAGATGGCGGCTACTGCCCCAACCGGACGAACTAAATAATCGATTTTCTATGGCGCTGGCGACGACCCGAGCGGCAAAAAAAATGAAGACGCAGAGTATGAGACACCAGACAGTGCACCTAAACCAGTTACGCAGACAGCTCGAGAATGGAACAAAAAGAAACAATGTGAATGGAACGACTCAGGTACCGCTGGTAGAGACAGTAAATACCTTTTCCATCTTCCAACAATCGGAGGTTTGGCAATGCTATTGTTGCCACCACAAGCCTAATTCCGTTTAAGAAAAAAAGGCAGCTGGAAAAATTTTCGACTAGTGTTCAGCAAGAGTAATGAGTTAGCTCTTCTTTTTTTCTGTGGAAAGGGGAATTGCTTCTGGAGATGCTTGTCTCAGAAATAAAGTCTGTTGTCAACAAGTATTTACTGCCCAATTACTGACAAATGAGCAGTAGAGATTGAAATCCCATATGCTGCTTTATGGAATTACTTTGAAGTTTGTGCAGCCTTTAACAGTAGAGAGCGAGACTAGGAATAATCACTGAAATCTTGGAAAATCGAACAAAGATCATGAAGCATATATAAACACAACAGACTCAAACTACCGCTCACCTAGTTTTTCTCTCGCGCTTCTCTCCAAAACATACATCGCCTCACAGAGAGCTCCAAGTTGTTCTGCTCTCTTCTTTTACTACCGCTCAATTACCACTCGTACCTCTATCTCTCCATGTGAATAATTATAGGAAAAGTCTGCGGAATAGGAAGGATGTACAAGTCAAAGAGCGAATAATGAAAATAAAAGGACTGATGCATTTGAAAAAAAACAAGGGTACAGTTCTCAATAGTTTAAGCATAAACAAACATCGGTCATTTGGAGAAAAGTTCTGGGTGAATTTCAAAACTTCTATATTTTTCAAACGGATCGAATGACACGAGAAATGAGCTTTTCGAGCACATATTTTCTCAATCGATCAGTCGCCACTTGAGCGTATGTACTTCAAGTACTTGACTCTCATTACCGCTTTCGTTCATCCTAAACCTGTTTACTGGGGAAATTTTGCGCAATACTGCGAACATTTTCTGAATACCTAATAACACAATGAAAAGCGCTGTTTTTGAGAAAGAATAAGAGAATATAAGGAATGAGCATTAACAAGTTATCACCTGAAAATTAAAAAAAGCAAAGAATCAACGCGCGAAAATCAAAATTTAGTTCAAACGAAAAATTGTGCAGTGTGTCGTCGAAGTGAATGCAGTGTTTGCGTACAAAGTGCTTGATTCGCCGACAATTCGTGGATCCTAAAACAGGAATCTGGACACTCCAGCGATTCCGAGGAAGGGGTTGTGTCCGAGGAACCGATTCCGAGGAAATCGGGGCAGAGTTTACTTTGCAACTGCCGCACTGCAAAAGTTGGAACTCCGCCCCGATTTCCTCGGAATCGGTTCCTCGGAAACAACCCTTTCCCCGGCATCGGGGGAGTGTCGGAATCTGCAATTTGTGATTAATTTTTATTAATGCCGCGTTCAAAGTTGATTTCAAGGAGTTTCCTGGAAAAACGCTGTCCAAAGCTGCCATTGTTTTCCAGATTTCCAGGTACACTAAACTATTTACTGTATCACTCGTTTTAACTGTGTCCTTCCTGTTGATTCATGTCGATTTACGGCGGGTCTCGAAGCGGAGGCCTCCTTGGAAATCTGGAAAACAATGGCAGTTTTGGACAGCGTTTTTCCAGGAAATTACTCCTGGAAATCAGCTTTGAACGCGGCATAAGAAAGTCTTCCGGGAAAGATAAATGAATTTGTTCTAAGGCAGTTTGTTTGATATTGTTGCAAAAAAGGTGCACAAATGTACATAAGGTATTTTCATCAGATTTCTTGAGTTTTCTCCCTCCATCTACAGTAGTCTACAGTACTCTTCTTGAAATAGATCCTTTTTCTGACTTGAGAAAACGATCGGAAACAGAAACTTTGTACATATTATTTCAATAACGACAAAAATCAGCAGGAAACATACATCAATCACGTACTTCATTTCATTTAACTATCCGAAGTATTTCAACCCCAAACAAGCAGGAAAGTGCTCTAGATGTCTAGGGGTTTCACTGATAAAGCAGTGACGACAGCAAATTGGTGGTGAGCTACTGAAACGAAAATTTACTCCGTCATTCGACTCGCAATGCAGTGCATCATTCTAGTTTCCGCCATTTTTGTTCTTGTCTTTGGTATTCCCGTTCCTTCACCGACTAGAGATGTTTGGGTCGGACCAAACTGCCATATGTGCGAGGTAAAAAAGGTTATGATTCTGGAACTGGAATAAAACCTGATGGAAACCTATTAAATCCTGGTAATTCTAGGAAAAAATACTAAAATTTCAGGTCATTCTGAACAATGTTCGCTACGAGTATCACAATAACTTCACAGGTGTCAGTGTTGATCAGTTACGTCTTTCTCTTTACCAGTGAGTATCTAAACTTTCATCCAACTTCCTTAAATGTGCACTCATGTGTGCACACATATGAGTTTTATCAGGAAAAGTTCCGGTTCATTTTCATGTCATTTATAAGATCGGTAGTCACCCCCACAACCACAAACAATCACGGTGTTTCTTTTTTTCGAAACGTCTTGTAAATGCGCTCACTAGGGAAGGTTGTAATTGGGGGATAGAACTTCGGTATGAGACCTATATCATTCGAAAGCTGAGAATGAGACATTTTCAAACATGTATTCAAATTTTGCTGGGGAGCTACCAGTTTCAAAATCAAGTTTCAAATTTGGCTCAAATTTGACTCTTAAAGGTGGGGGGACATGAGAAAAATAATGTTGTCGAAATTCCGTTTAAATATGCTCCTCGAGGAGTTGAACTTGTCGAGGCGAGTGTTGAAGGTGCGGCGCCGCTACCGACTGAGCTACGCGTGCAAAGAGAAAGCCGCTGCCCGATTGCATACATAAAGGCGAGGGCGACAGCTGTACGCAGAGTGACATTAAGCGTTGTACACCGTGACGGTAGAATGCATACTCTGGCCCCAAAAATCCCCCGTAAAATCTCCTGTCCCCCCACCTTTAAGGGCGCCGCGCCTCCCCTCTTTCTTATATAGATTGGGGAAGTGAAAGAACAAGACAGCAGTGGTGTAGCACAGGTCCTGGGCGATGATGCGCATAAAGGACTCGATCCATATGCGATCCTCTAGAAGTCCGTTTGACACATATCGCGAACAACGAGCTGCGATGAGTCTCATATGTGTGCGATGCGGGAGAGGCTGAATCGAGTGTTCCGAATGCGCGCGTATCCTAGATGAATTCTGGGTGGGTGGGCGATATGTGCGATATGGGTCTGATACGGTAGGCCGACTACAACACTCCGAAATCCCGGATGCGCGCACCGTAAATCCACACCGGCAACTTTGTCAATTTTTCGTCAATTCGAGCCTACATTTCTGGTTTTTCGATTATTCCTTCGATGTTTTTTGTGAAAAAGAGTTATGGCAGAATAAAAAATCGCTGAGTTCTTGCAGAAACATGTCTTTCACTCGTTAATTGCTATGTTTTTCGCCAAAATAGGTGATATTGAGATTTTTTGATTTCACTTTGTAATTATTGTAAAAATCGTATTTTCAGGTGGAGTAAAAGGTAAGTTGGTAAGTATACAATAATTACAAAGTGTAAATTATAAAAATTTTCAATTTTTCATGCAATTTCAAAAAAAGTGAAAGTGAGGCATTTTTTGAGCAAATGAAAAAAAAACAATTTTTAGCGAATTTTTTCCCATTTTCTTCTGTTTTTGATTGCATATCAAATTTAAATGGAAACTGCCATAAGTCTTTTTCAAAACCAAAACATTGAGTTTCAGTAATATGTCGTTCAAAAAGAAATCAGTAATATGTCGTTCAAAATATAAAAGAATATGGAATAAAAAAGGAAAAGTACGAAATCGGAAGACCTGAACAAAATCACATCACAATAGAACTTAACTGATACTTCTAGGAAACCCCAACCAACGTTTTAGTTCATTTCATCGAGTGCCAGCAAGCCAGGCGAGGAGATGCTTTGCGGCGGCGGTGTGCCCCATATGCCCCGTATATGCCCCATACCGGCGTCCTTTCCCTGTACCCAATTCATCGGCGCGTCCTCCGTCGCCCATCCATTATGCGTATGCGCGCCCAGGACCTGTGAGTGGCGAGGAGGGATGAAGAGTATCCAACCGGTTGGTTCGATTCCTCTTCCCGGTATTGTTTTTTGATTTTATTTTTGGTTTTTGTGGCGATCTTCAAAATGGTCTGAACGCATTTTTTTCAAAGAAAAATTTTAATTGGATACTCATTTTTTACTTTTTCACAAGTTTTGAAAAGTACATACTCCATAGCTTTTGCAAATTTCTTGAAGCAACACTACAAATCTTTTTTCAGATCTTTATTTCAAAATCCACAAGATTTGTTTGTTATTGGGGTTGTAAAGTGACAAATCAATGAAAGATAATGTGAATCTATGTTTTTTCTCAAGTTTTGAGTACTACTGGGTGATTATCGAAGAAATATGGATTGTAGGATAATCGAAAAAACATTAAAAGCTCTCGATTCCGAAAAGGATAAAGCTTCCAAATATTGCTAAACGACTCATTTTAAAGTTTCTGTCTGTTTAGAATTCGTTTTAGCACATTTGAAAATTTTTCGAAAAATAGTTTGAAAATGCCAAGGGGGTACCCCATGGATATTTTTCGTCAAAATTTTTTTTCTGTAAAATCGAGAAAACTTTGTCAGATTGTAGAGGAACATTTGAAATTGTAATTACAATCAAAAAACTTCCAAAATCTTTCACCAATCATCGAATGTCTTTTTCTCAAAAATCAAAATGTAGTTTGAATAATGCTTCAAAAAAAGTTTTTCAAAGCATATAACACAAGTATTCCATAAGTTTTGAATAAAAAAAATGATCCCATAAAGTTTTCAGGTTTTTTTTCAAAAAAATTTTTTCGCAAAAAAATCACCATGGGGTCCCCCTTTGCATTAGCAATTTCTCAGATTTCGAACCCGATTTTCTCGAAACTGGTAGCTCCTCAGCAAAATCAGAATATATATTTGAAAATTTCTCATTTTCAGTTTTCGAATGATATAGGTCTCATACCGAAGTTCCACCCCCCAATTACAACCTTCCCTCGTCAGCTGACATTTAAATACCGTAGTAAAAAAGAGTTCACTTGGGTCCCAGGAAGCGGGTAAGAAAGCGCGCCCAGTAAATTTTTCAAAAATTCTAAATTCACTGTCGAACTTCGGTGCCTTTTCTGATCCGCTTCCTCGGACCCAAGTAAGCGTTCGACTCGACGCGAAAGCTTCTAATTGAACTACTGAGTCGTTAATCAGCGGGACCTGCATTCCATTGGAAAACGAGCGGGAGAAAAATTGTCATTTTTTAACGTTCCGGAAAAGTGTCATTTCAGACAATGCGATGCGAACTTAAACGGGTTCACAGATGTAGAGTGCCATAAAATAGTTGATAAAGACTCAGCCGATATATTGACTCAACTTCAAGATGGTACGTCTTCTTATCGAATTTGTCAAAGAGAACTGTTGTGTTGACTGTTTAAGATTGAAGCACAGTGTATGTAATAAAGGATATGTTGTTTTTGATTTCATGTTTTCTGAATTCTGTCTTATACAATTTTCTATTATTCTGTTACAACGCATCGGATGTTGAAGAGAAACGCCGGTGGCTGGTATCCAAAGGTCCAACAATGACAACGACAGTAACTTAAAAATAGTCTACATTTGTCGTATTTATGAATATATTTTCTCAATTGTCGTTTGTTTTCAGTCAGTTCTCCCGCTTTATTTTGCTGCAGTTAAAGTATTTTCAGGTTACGGTAGTTGTTGTGGGTCCCACGGCAACGGCTTACGGCGTTTCTCTTCCATAGCTTCGATTTCAGGGTGAAGAAATTTAAGAGAACAATTTATTCATGAGATACGCCAGAAATTCAACATCCGATTCCAATAAGATAACTTCCTCCAAACGAAAATCTTCTTCTTCTTCTTTTCCTTCATATGTTTCTTTTTTCCCTCTCCCTTCTATTTGGCCGAAACTTTTCTTTGAAATGTTACAACAAAAAAAAAGACAAAAAATCAACCAACACTTTTTTTTCTTGAATTTGAAACTTTTGTGAAGTTCTAAAATTTCTCTATATCATAAACTATAATCGTTGAAAAGAGTTCTAGAAAAATTCACAGAATTCGTTCCGATCATCTTGTTGGAATACTGTTTGAACAAATCAATTCTCCTCAATTTCTCTATCTCTCCATCTCTCCATCTCTCTTTTTTACACAAAAAAATGTTTTCGATTTTATCGGTCACTCTTCTTACTTCCAGAGAGCCAAGATGCGTTCTTTGCTCGTCTTGTTTCCAATTTTGGTTGCTTTGGTATGGTGCCAAAAAATTCCAAGTGAGTTCAGATTTTTGTAATTTGTATATATTCAAACGAAGAAACAAATTCAATTAATGAAATTCAAAAAATCGAAAAAGTAATGCTATAGACTCTCAAAATAAGCATAACCTCAGCTTATGCCGACGTTCAGTCGCCAATCGTCCGTTTATGATTAGAGAAAGGTTTCTGAATTTGGAAGGTTTTACATTATGGAAACCAGAAAAAAGAAAATTTTTGGTCACCAATAAAACATAAATGCAACAAATTCGATATTTCAATTTCTTGTTTCAGACTTTACGGTTTCAAATGCTGAACTTCTCGCGTTGGCAAAAAAGCTTCGTCAAGTCGACGTTCACCGAGCTCGTCCTGATCAAATCATGCTCAATTACCAGAAACATACAGTAACCCGAGATGACAGTGATTCGGCACCAGCTAAACTATTCTCTAGAGTGGACTCTTCTCTTCTTCGTAAACCTTCCTATGAACTCTATTTGAATCTTATGGACAATTTCAATCGACAGACTGGAGTCACTGAACCTCGTGTCAGTCAAACCGAAGAGAAAGCTGAGGTTGGAAAATTCTTGGATCATGTCTTGGCGACAAAACCAATGCAAGAGTTGTACAATTGGTTCAAAGCTAAAGGTAAGACACCATAACAATTACTTTGAGAGAACAAATTTATTAGGTCATCCAATTGCCACGTCTCCTCAAAACTTCCGTTTCTGGATTGGTCAACTCTGGTTCTCGCACTACTCGAGAGCTCTTGGTCGTCCAGATACATCTGGTTTTGAGCATGTTTTCATTGGAGAAGCAAAGAATGGAGAGATTTCTGGGTTACACAATTGGCTCAGATTCTATGTATTGGAAAATAATAGAACAGAAAATTTTGATTACAAAGGATTCACAGTGAAAAGATTTGTGAGTTTTTGTTTGGCATCTGTACCAAAGCCACGATTCTTATTATTCTGGTACAAAAAATGGTCAACGATGATCTGTCGGCGAGTTACTCAAAAATCAGGAAAAATATGATTTTTCGAGATTTTCATCAATACATTTCTAACGATGCGGTTTTCAAATTTTTCTCAGAAACCTTTCAGTAATCCTAAACAGACGATTGGCGGCTAAACGGCGGCTGAGTAGAAGTGGGTGTCCGTGGTCCACAACCACAACTACAGTAATTTAAAAATATTTGTATCCTTCGGATTTACTATCTCGATTTTCAAAAAAAAAAAAAACAATTTTCGATAGTGAGAAACTGATTGGAAATACACGAAAATCGAGAAAAAAAATCCGAAAAATAAAAATATTTTTAGGTTACGGTAGTTACCGGCGTTTTGATGGCTGAGGACGAAGTTCCAGAACAATAATTGTTAAAAAAAAAATTTCAGAACATTATGGGTGCTCTAAAATTCACATGGGACGGACTTCTAAAAAGAGTGGGATCGATTCTTATCGGCACAACTCCTGAATATGATATGGCTCTCTACACAATGTGTTTCTTATCAAGAAGAGGAAGAGAGACCTGCGATGTGGAATTGGATGGATGTCCACTTCAGATCACTAGTTTCGAAATTATGCAACAGAACAAGGTATAGTACTAGTTTCCAGGTTAAAATGAATAGTTTATTTCCAGGTTTACATTGGAAGCATCTATCCAACAGCTGGACGTTTAACTGATGAGTGCAGAGCTCAGAATCGGTGATCGTTGAAAACATAAAAAAAGAAATTTCATGACACTTCTTCAATAAACTACTTTATTATATTCATTTTTCTGAGTTAAAAGGCGTTCATTCTGCTCCTTTCTTTTTCGGTTTCACAGCTGCCCATTTGGCGAAAACTGCATCCAATTTCGTTTCACGATCAGCACTGAAAATTGAAAATTTTCAGATTTTTTAGATCATACTATGGTGTTTTACTTGTTTCTGTTCTCCTTTGCCTGTCGTGTATTGACGCGAACCTCGAATCCCTGAAAAATATACTTTTTATGTTCTAACGGTCCGTGGCAAGAGGTCAGAGGAGATCAAAGGACAAATTTTAGAACTTTCGAAAATTTTGAAAATTTTGATTTTTAAATTTATTCTTGAAAATTTGGATTTCGAATTTTTAGAACTCTCTAATTTTCCACAAAGATTTTGCAAATGGGTCATGGAGTTATGGCACATGTTCTATATCATTGGAAAGCTGATAAAAAGTTATTCACGAATGTGCAATCAGAATCTGCTAAACGGTAGACAGCTCGAAGAAAATTAGGTCTTATGCTCTGGATTTACTACATTTTTCTTTAACTTCAATAGAAATAACTTTAAATTTTAGATCGCGTGAATATGAAATGCGAAATTGAGGAAAACAGAAGTAAATCCAGACCTTTAGAACTATTTTTCTCTGAACTGTCTACCGCTTAGCAGATTCTCATTGCATATCCGTAAATAACTTTTTTTCTCAACTTTCCGATGATATAGGTCATGTGCCATAACTCCAAGACCGATTTGCACCATTCCTTAGTGAGTTTGACTTTCAAAGACCTGAAAAAATTTCAACTTCTTTTGTACCTCAGCTTTAATGGCAGATATTCTACGGCTCAACTGTTTCCAGCATCCCTCATCAAACGAAAGTCTCTTTTTCATTGTCCATTGAAATGCGGCAGTCTGTTCAAGAGCCCCTCTCGAATGGAAAACACAGTCTTTCGGTTCGCGATTCTCGCCAGCAAGAAGATATGCGAAATGCGGATTCGTCTCATCGAGAATAATTTCTTGTTCCGCTTTCAGCTCTTCCTTTTTGTTGTTATCTTTCTTGTCAGGTGAGTCTTCTCCTGGTTTTTCTGGCTTGTCCTTCGAATCCTTCTTATTTCCACATGCTACTTTTCTATTCTCTTCTTCGTTCATTTCCATTGGAATCACAACTTTTTCTTCTTCCACTTCTTCTTTTCTATCATCGTCTTCAAGTTCAGAAGTCATTGAAGACGTTGACATCGTCAGCTTTCTTCCACGGGAAACGACTTGTTCTTTTGGTTTGCTGGTCTAGAAAAAATATTATATTATTCTGGTACAAAAAATTAAACGGCTGGCCAGGTCCCAAAACGGCATCTACAGTAACCTAAAAATATTTTCATTCTCTGGTTTTGCTATCTCGTTTTTCACTGTTTTTCGTCGATTTTCTGTCATTTTTTCTCAAAAAAAAAGCGGAAAGTCAATGTTTTTGATGGTAAACAAGTGGAAAACGCACGAAAATCGAGCTCAAAAATCCGGAAAATAAAAAGGTTTTCAGGTTACGGTAGTTGTCGTTGTGAGACCTTCGGCCACGGCCTCCGGTGTTTCTCTTCCACAGGTCCTCTACGAATCCTAAACGTACACATGATGCAGCTATAAGGATAAACGTTGCCATCGGAAAACATTTGACAATCAGTTGCAGGAAGTCCTCCATGTTGGAAAGTAAAACTAACTGTGAAATTTAGGAAATAACGAGATGCTCTCAATTTTTTTTTTGTATGAATTTAAGCTATTTAGTATATTCTGACACGCTTTGCAGAAAAAAAGTCTGAATAAATATTTATAGATCTTCTTTAGTTGTAAAAAGGTCTATATGAATCCACATATGTAACAAAATATCCTTTCTTTGGAAAAAAATCTGAAAAGAGGAACATTCAGTGGAAAGAAATTTAGGGGGAAAATGAATAGTGTATGAGAAGAAGAAGAGAAGGGAGAAGAAGCAAATTAGACAGTTCACAACCGTTTCAAAATTATCAGCAGAAAATAGAGGATACAATTACACTTGAATAGAAAAAATACATATAATAAGGGGGAGCTCTGTAACAACAAATGGGCTTAAAATGACAGTAAAACGACGAGAGAGAAGGTTTTGATCACAGTGTGGAGAAATGATTGGGATTTAGAATGCGTATAGAACATGAAGTGAGACATGAAAAACGAGAGAGAGAGAGCTAACAAACATAAAAAAGACATTTTCTTGTAGATACTAGAGACAGACGAAGAATTTTTAACCGTATTTGAAATCCATTTTGGGCAATTACTCTTTGACTACACCTACTCTTTGACTCCACATTCTCTTTGACTACAAAGTCTCTTTGACTACATTTATCTCTTTGACTACACTTGTCTCTTTGACTACAAAGTCTCTTTGACTACAAAGTCTCTTTGACTACACTTTTTAAAATTTTAAAATTTTCTGCAGTTTTTGTGGGCGTTCTCACAGAATATAAGAAGAATTTGAGCCTAAGCCTATAATTTTAAACAAAAAACTGATAATTCCAAAAATACATCACAGTGAAAAAAGTACTGAAATTCGCGAAAATCAGCAAAATTCTCACTTTTTTTCGCTGAGATTTCCAAAATTTTACTATTTTCTGTACAAATCAAAGGCTTAGGCTGAAACGGTTACCGGAAACTGGTGTTTTAGCCTAAGCCTACAATTTGAGACAAAAATCGGAAACTCCAATAAATTCAGTCAAAAAGTACTATAAAACAAAAAAGTGTAGTCAAAGAGACAAGTGTAGTCAAAGAGATAAATGTAGTCAAAGAGATTTCGTAGTCAAAGAGAATGTGGAGTCAAAGAGTAGGTGTAGTCAAAGAGTGGTGTAGTCAAAGAGTAATTGCCTCCAATTTGTTAGTGATTTTCTGATTTTTGAAAAAGAGGCTAATGTTATTTTTGCATTTTACGATCAGGTACTCGGTACCAATTCATTCGGGTGATTATTTGGAGAAGAACAGGGATCAATCGAAAATAAAAGAAGAAGTCTCAGCATATCACACAGCAACAAGTTGACTTCTGCCGCCTACCATCGCCATTCCGAGAATCTGACAAGTCTCCTGGAACTGAAAAATGATGAGAATACGACTCAAATTTTTTTTGAAATATCACTGACAATAGGCAGTCAAAAAACATTTTGCTTTGAACTATGCATTTTTTTCGAAAGTGATTATTTTTTGTATAGGAAAGTCAGAGCAGTAGAAGAGAAAAGCTTGTGTGCGTGACCAGCGGTCCCGTAACGAAAAATACCGTAACCTAAAATTATCGATATTTTTTCTCGATTACTATTGCTTTTCGACAACTTTTGTGTTGAAAATATACCAAAAAAGTTGAAATTTTATTTTTTCTAAATCTATTAAAAATCCGGAAAACGGAAAAACATTTTCTGACTACGATAGTTCGGCTGTGGTCGCGGTCACCAGATTTTCCCTTTCACAACTCCTTTTTTTTTGCATATCAGCATAATAATCGAACTTTGTAATTTGAATTCTAACCTTTTTTCTGCCTCCTTCTTGTACTTCCACCACGCTTCGGCGTCGTATCCAAGTCATCATCAGCCGTTCCATTCGTTTCAAGTTTTCGTAGCCATTCGTCCGGCGACATTGGTTTTGCTTGTTTATTTTGCGAACTCTGAAAATAATACTTCGAAGGGTGAGAGATACTGTCTTTTTGTTCTTCACAGCTTACCTTGAGCACTCGTTTACTCGGTGATTCTCTCTGGTGTTGAAGTGAACCGGCTTGCGAAGCATGTACATCTGCCGAGACGTCTTCTTTTGACCACGTTCGCAAAATATCAGCTCCTTCTTTCTGAGCCTCAATTCTGGCGGGCGTGAGTCCACTTCTATCGCGAAGAGATTGACGGCGAATGGCTCCACGAGCAGAAAACGGATTGTCTCCAGTTGTAGCACCTTGTTGTGGCGATTCGAACTTCTTCCTTTTCTTGCTCTGTCTTCTAGAATCGCGAACTCCGAATGCCAGTCGTCGACGTCTAGCTTCCGTTTGAACCAGTGCTGTGATGACCTGTTTCGTTGATAAATCCTCACATAGATCCATCGGCGTTTCTCCATTTTTGGTTTTTGCATGAATATCACCTCCATATTGGCAAAGCAGTTCAATGAGATCAGGTTGTGCCCAGCAAGCAGCAGCATGCACTGGCTGCCAAAAGTCATTATCTCGGATCAGCGGGGAAACAGAGCAGGTAAGTAAAAATGCAGCAACGTCGTAGTAACCATTCGCAGATGCTACGTGGAGCTGTAAAGTAGGATTTTGGAGGTTCAGAGATACATTTTATAACACTTACATATGTGGAACCATCTGGTGCTCGGACATCCAGCTCTCTTCCTTGCTGATGGAGCATTTTCATGTCATCTAACATTGCTTTCTCTGGTGCTCCTCTCATTTCGTCAATGTACGACTGCGTGATTCCCCGTGCAGCCATTTCACTTTCAATAACATCCAGAGTTTCTTCATGATCACATATATCATATGGCATGTTGCCTTCGGCATTGACGGCTAATAAATTGGCACCAGCTTGAATCAGAATTTTCACAATATTTATATGAGCACAACAGGCAGCCGCATGCAGAGGTGTCCATTGCTCCGTGTCTTGTGCGTTCACATTTGCTCCTCTGTCCAACAAAAGAAGCATGATTTGTTGATTATCGTCAATTGCACACTGATGTAAAGGTGTCAATCCATCGTCATTGTGAAGGTTTGGATTGGCATTTTCGTTTAGCAGCCGTTCTACTTCCGCGTAATCTGCTCGACACGTGGCTTCGAGTAGCTCCACTTCAGCCGCAAAATGAAGACGTTGTCGACGAGGTCGAGGAGGCGGAAGAGCTCTTTCTCTTTCATCGTTTTTTCGAAGTTGCAACCGCCGTCGATCTCTGGCAAGAGCTATTCTCTCCTGCGCCGTCATCCGTTCAATCTCGGGCAGCTCGGCGATGAGCTCCGAGTGATCCATATTGTAATTTGTTGTTGTTCTGGAAAAAATGACCCTAAGGAAATCGAATCGTGGAAGAAAAAAACTTACGATGAACCTCAACTTTTGAACACACTCTTTCCTAGATGAGTGAAGTGAGTGACTTTCCGATTATATTCAACCACATCAGAAAAGATTCATTGATGAAGGTTCTGAAATTGTATTTTAAATTGCCAATTCGACAAAGAATAGGTTTTTGTACAGAATTATGGTAGGCACAAAACACATTGCATCAAGGAAGCCGATGGAATGAAGAACAGAGGAAAAAGAGTATATTTCAATCCGAAACATACACAATAAGAGAAGGAGATGGTGATGAAGGAAGAAATAAAAAGGAAAGTGGAGGTTTCTTGTTTCGACAAAAATGACCGGAAATTATGAGAGGACGGAAATTGAGGCTCAATCGAGAGGGGATTAAAAAACTCCAAAAGTGGTTGGTACGACCAAAAAATGATTTCCACTAGAACAACACTAGTCGTTTTTTAGCTCTCATTGGTCTTCTAGTGTACTCCATTTTCCTAGGATAACAGGAGTATCTTTTCATCACAAAACACACTTGCCATCATCAATTCTCTCTCTATCTCTCCCACCTATTGCATTCAATGCGACACTTCTATGGTCCACTATCACACATTGGTCGGTTCGGCGTTGGTGTGGAGTCTACGTGCCAAACGATCACAGCTCACCACTGGCCAGCTGAGTGACTTTGAAGAGTTAGAGAGGAAAGAAATAAACATACTGGCAGAAAAAAAGGTTGGAGGTATTCTGGTTAACAAGAGCCACAATATTAGAATATGTTTTCGAGATTCCTATGTACCAATAGTGTTTTGAAGGCTTAAAGCTATTTGCAGAAGTTCCTAAAACTTTAGTCGCCAAGAAATCGTTTGGCATATCCTACGAGAGAAAATACCTATATTTGAATGTCAAACTCATTGATTAATCAATTCTAAATGAGAAAAGGGCGTATGGTTTCTCTTCTACTCGTCCACTATTTCTCTTTTTCTACGTCCTTCTGTCGGTCATCATCACTATCATCGACCGTCTTTCTTATCACAATGTATCGTGTCTCCTTCCATTTCTTTTTATCGATATATAAGATGAAAACCGCATTTTTCTCATTCCAATACGGAGATGAAAGAGAAATTAGACTAAATATGACAATTTTGAAAACGAGTGATTTTTGAAAAAAACGAAAAGACTTACATTTGAAAACTGTGACAAAACCTTCTCCTACAGCCCCGATGCGTTTCCGAGATGTGATCTGCAAAATTGATAATTTCAGTTTTTTAAAAGGCGAAAATTTGGTAGAATAAAAAAAATGATTTTTGAAGCGGTCAATTTTTAATGAGATCTTTTTATGCATCCTGCATCAAATAAACTTATAAAGAGACAGAGAGTGCGAGGCTGATGATGAGGGCGAAAAAAAGAAGAAATAGAAGCAAAGAAGGGAAAAAGAAAGAAGAAAATAAAACGACGGAGAAGAGTAAGAGTTTATATCAAAAGGTGGCCGGAAATTTGAGACGACTCCGAAGTAGTGCTCGATGGATGATTCCCCTTATTCCTTATTCCTACTCCGGGGGTGTTTCAGACAATGAAATCGAGTTGGTAGGATACCAAAACTATACATTGCGAAATATTTCTATTTGAACACAAAAAAAACTAATTTTATAGTTTCAAAGCGAGTTAGAACATGAACGAAAAAGATTCTGAAATGGGGGAAAACTACGAAAAATTCTCGTTTAAACCGGTATACGTTGTTGCTGATGGGCTGAGAAAAAAGAATGCTTTGGGAGCTCCCTTAGCGGCGGTATTGGTGTGGCTCTTGAGACGAACACGCGTGTCTTGTTTGCAAAAACAATCAAAAGGGGAAGGAGAAGAAGAAGATGGAGAAGAAATTGAACGATGACTGGTGGAAGAGGCCAAAACCAGAGAAAAACTAACTGGTAGAGGAGGAAAGATGGTGGTGATGGAACTAGAATGAGGTCTCGATGCCCCCACAAGATTGACCTTTGTTATGTTGTGAGAAAAAGTTTTGATAGAGAGGTGATAAAGAAAGACTGGTTGAAGAAAAAAAAATGGAACATCAGAAAACACGTGAGATAACATGAGAAACGATAGAGAAGAAGCGGGGCGGTAGTCATGAAACAATGAAAAATATCTGCTTTCAGTTTCCTCACCGGAAATCAGATATTGATTATTATGGGGAGGGCAGAGAAAGGAAAAAAAATGAATTGATGAAAAGCGGAAATTTCTAATCATTCAAGGTCACTTATGAAGCTTGCAGTCCTAGGCTTCATGTTCATATAAACACATTCAATTTACATATGAAAAGACGGAGGGTTCAGAAATACAACCAAGAATACCAACTAGTGGGTTTTATTGAATATTCATGAACTTTTTTTTCTGATGGATAAATTGTCCCTTGGGAATATTTCCATCTTCAGGGTTGATTTTTTCAATTTTCCTATTATGTTTCCTCAAATAAGTCGGAAATTTAAAATATTTCAAAGTGAAAAAATTGACTGGAAATTGGAAACGGAAAAAAAGCGAGAAAAAAATCAGGAAAATGAACACATTTTTAGGTTAGAGTAATTGTCGTAGTGGGACCTTTAACCACCGGCGTTTCTCTCAAACAGCTCCGATTTTTTAGAACAGAATAATATCCGTATCAGAATATTATTACCACAATGTGTGATAAGACGAGCGCCCACAAGAGAGAGGTGAGTTTATGGATGACTCAGAGAGCATTCGATAGACCGTTTCGAAACGAGACGGCAAACAATAATGTCTAACAGGAAGAGAGAGCAAGAGAAGCAAAATTTTGAGGAACATTCTGATGAGGAAAAAAGGTCTTCTGAATCGAATATTTCGGAATATGGACTCGGAATTCCCAATTTTCATACGGATATTCGACACCGATGAAGCACACGCGATTCTTGTTTTCTCCATTTCCGAAATGTGCAAAACATGCTCTAGCCAGGCGGCTATTCATGTCACTTTCTCGGAGAAGTTCTCATTAAGATTCCTTCGTCAAATTCTTTACGTTTCGAGGAGAAAGACAAGCTTCCAGAGACCGAGAGAGACACTACTATTTAAAAAAGAATGAATCACACTGAAACCTACTACTAGGTCATAAGCAACACTATTTCACACTATTTCATTAAAACCATTGAGCATCATGCCTCCAGGACCACTTGAATTCTGCTTGGACATCCAAAAGACAAAAAAAAGAGAGAGAGATATATATATATATATATATATATATATATATATATATATATATATATATATATAGAAAGAGGTTGGTTCAGTTTTAATTCAAAGCATTCAACTTCTCATCTGGAGAAGGTCAACTTTTCGTTCCTTTGTCCGTGGCGTGCGAGAGTGTTAATGCGCAGAGAGAAGAAAAAATGAATGGTGCCCGGGTTCGTGGAGCAGTTGCTAAGCTTTTTACTAAGACAAAGAGCTACATGTCTTGTGCTCTATGAAACAAAAGAACTTGCGAAGAACTATATATTCTTTCCTCATCTTCAGAAGATCACGTTCACTGCAAGTATGATTTGCGTAGAAAAAGGCAAAAATAGAACTAATGCATGACAAAAATAGCAGGTGAAGGTGTCTAATATCACCTGCCTTCTAGTTTTATCCTTTCATGTAGGAATACGCACAAAATATGACGATGGTACAATTTTAGAATGGATCAGCTTAATCCAGACTAAAGTATCCTGGAGAGAAACTACAAAACAGTATGATGTTCAGGTACAACAGATTTTAATTGATTCGACGACCGAAAGGCAACACGTGTCCACTCCGTGGGCCACCAGATACCGGAAGCATAATAATTAGCGACCGGGCGGTGATGGTGGAAAGTGGCATGTCAGAGGAGACCCCCAGCAGCAAATGATTGATCAGTCTGCGTCTGTGTTTCTGTTGTATTCAACGTTTCTCTTGTTTTTCTTGACGACCTTTTTCCTCCTGTGGGAGGTAGGTGAAAATCAGGAAAGAGTGGCCGTTGCTGCTCGCGCAGAGAGCACAACGAAAAACGCAACAAGGATGGAAAAATTCCAATGCTTTTGCGTTTTCACCAATGGCAAACACAGTACACGGAGGAGGAGGAGAGAGATGAAAACTACTTGAGCGCAGATTAGTCTTCGAGTAGACTGAGCATTCGAAACTGTTTTAACGATTTTGCGAAAATGGAAACTATAGAAATAGGGAAATTTTCTAACGAAGAGATATGGATGCCGTTTTCATTCGATGTACCCAGAAGCTCCAAAAATTCTGCCTCAGAGCCTCATTCTCGTTTGTACCCCCAAACCCCGTCAATACAAACAAACAATCAAATCTGTCTGAAGCTCTCTCCTATTTGGGTAATGTTTCCCTACCGACCAGCTTCTCGGTGAGCACACTAACTCGTCGGTGTTCAATACAAAACGAATCAGTTTGGGGGTATAGACTTTCTAATGCAGGGAGTTAGAATATCACATAAACAGCTAGAAATAGGATTGCGCATAATATACAGTTTTTTTTTGGAAAGTTTCTACTTCTACGTCTTTCTGAACACTTCTTCTGGAATAAATAAATTAAGACCACTTTTGAACAAAATTCAGGCATGATGCGAGATTTATCATTAACCATTCCGATCAGTACTTAATTTTTGAAAATGAATACGAAACTTATGTCCGTTTTTAGACAGCTATTTAAGTATCGAAAATCTGTGGGTGGATAAATTACGAAACACATTTTTTGGTGGGCGGAAAATCCTAGGAGAAAATTATAGGCTGTCTGAACGGAAGCAGATCGGAACAAACTGAGTAGAATGGGGGTGGAATAGATATAATACTTAGTAAATAAAATACGGGGGGCATTGAATGTCAGGATTAAATTAGGTTTGCAGATTCCAGGGTTCGGAAGGTATGAAGAAAATTGATCTGCTTCAAAGTCCTCATTTATTTTTCATAATTATTGGCATACTTTCTTTTTCTTTTTTTTCATGGAGGGATGGAATACTAGATGAATAGACGCAGACGTGGAAAAGCCTAAACGGACGAAAAAAAGAGATGGCGAGGTTAGGTTTGTTATGTGTGTGGAAGCGAATAAGCGAATGAATTGTGTCGATGGACGAATGGAGCTTGAGATGCAAAGAAACAGACGAGAAAACAGTGTGATAATGCGAGAAACGCAGACACATCCATATTACCTTCCACGACACATCGCTAAAAAAATTCAAGAAGGGCAAAAATGTAAAAATTCTATTCTGAATATCAATCTTAGATCTAAAATTCTTCCCATTTATTATAAACCTTATAAAAAAGGATATTCGTTAAGATTCTTTCCATCCTCACTTTCATCTTATTTTTCCGTCAAAGGTGGATTTGACCATGACAAGAAGGTGTTCTTAGTCTTCGAAGTGGAAATCATCGTAATTGGTATTAGCAAAAACTTGTGTACGATGATTTGAAGGAGGAGATTTTCCAAACCTGAACCGGATTCCAAAGAAGCAAAAAAAGGAGAATTAGATTTGTAAAAATTACCCGAAGAAACAAGAGAGTGAACGTATGTTTTCCTCTATTACAAAGTGAAGATGACGAGAAAATAAAACCACACCTCCTAATCTTACGACCTTGAGAATGGGTATTCTGTGCTACTAGAAGCAATAAACTATGTCGAAAACCATGTCATCGATTGGAAACTGGATACGTAGGCGCCTATACCTACTATAGTCGAATTCGAAGTATAACGATATTTGGAAAATATGGGGAAGCGGTTATAATAATAATAGTGAATAAAATAGACAGAAGACGATGATGATCATGGTGTCTACATATCCGGGAAGGATATCTATTTCTTTTTCTATTTTCTTTTTTTTTCACTGTGGCTATGTGTATGTGAAAGCCATCCCATAATTGACACGCTTCAGTTGTTTACCATTGAATATAAAGCTAAATGATAGAAAAAAAATTAGAAAAAAGAGTAGCTAAGATCTGAGGGAAGCGGTTCTATGAGCCACATTCCAGAAAAATCGGCCGGCTCAATTTCATGCACTGAAAGCCACGTTTCAACACCACAAGAGAACATGTAGAGAACGGAAGGCCCGGATAGGTAGGAAAAGGAAAATTTTGCGCGAATCGCCACCATGGCTATTTGGTTTGACTCGTCAATGTAGAATGGGAGAGAGTGCTTGAAAGTCGAAGAGACAGAGAGAACGAGGAGACAGTCCTCTGGTACGAAAAGGTGAGTAGTCGGGGGGCCGACACTGTAAAGCAAGGAGTCTCCTTGGTCTGCTTTCTCTACTATGCGCACAGTCACTATCGTTCCGAGTCTCTCCCGTATGTGAGACGCGACCCTCTTGGGAGGCCGATCGAGAAAGTAATCGAACACGATTGAAATAGTGAAAAGAAGCTGGAGACACAGAGACGATACTGAACGAAGGTGAATACAAAAATTCGAAAGGCGACAACTACCGAATGATGCCAGTTATGCCCGTTTTATAAATATGAGTCATTAATGAGTCATGAAATTTGCATAGAACTCTTGGGTCCCATGTTCTACACCATTGTTGAGATATGTTTAGCATCGCATCAAAACAGAAAAATAGAAAAAGGTACAAAACAGAGGATTACCTACATAGAGAAGAATAGGATCAAGATTATATGTTCGAGAGTCTTTCGAGTGGTAGAAGTACTTTTGTGGTTGCGAACAGCAGATTCGGCAAAACAGAAAAAACAGAAAAAAACACTCATAAAACTTTAGGGGAACATTCTCATGGAAATGGACGCAGTCGCTCGGGAACTAAAAAACGCCACCGTATTCAAGAGCAGAAGCCATGGAAACTTCGGGAAGAATAGCATGTTTCAACAAAAAAATTTAAACGAAGGCAGTATTCCTATTGGGATATCCCTACATGCAGGTCAGCTATTATTTCAGTGAGAAGATGAATAACATCGTTGTTTCTTTTTTCACGACAAAACATAATTTCATGACTGCAATCGTACAGTGTTGTCAACTTTTATTTGGTCAAAACCACGAATGATACGATTTTTGTACAGCATGAAATAGAAATTTCTTAAGAGAAAAACAGAAAAGCAGAAAAATTGCAGAAATGTTTTTGTTGAAAAAAAAAGAAAAACTCGGTACTTCGGAGCGGGGCCAGCTTTTCGAAATTGATGCATGCGCCTTTAAACAGTAACGACATTAACATTTCTTTTTCAGTCTACTTCAATTTTTCAGATCTTCGGGAGGTTGCTCAACTATTTTCTTTTTGTATACAGCATTAAAAATGTCTTTTAAAAAATCAAAAAAGAAAAATCACAAAAAAAACTTTTTTGTTGAATAAAGCGATTCTCTGTACTTCGAAGTGGGACCAACTATTAGGTTGTCCAAAAAGTCTGACACTTTTACTTCGCTCTATGTTGCTCATCCGAATTTCGATTTTTTCTAAATCTGTTTTCATATTTATAGATGTCACACATTGTGTGTTTAACGCACTATAAAAAATTTCCCCTGCTCGAGCGTACTGCGGGTGTTCAAAGATTTGTGTGGTTTTTCGTTGTCATGCAATAGCTTGAACAGCAAGCCTTTCTGGAGGTGAGGGCGATGTGCATAAATATCACTTTCCATTTGGAAGCCGTAGAGCCAGAGTTGATGATACTGGAGCCCGGAAGCAGCTTGCGGGACATTACTCCAGCACTGTCTAACCAAATTCAAAAAATCTGATTTTTTCTGGAAGCTTCCCGTTTGAGCTCGATTTCGCCCTTTCTTGTGCAGAGACCCATTTTCTCTTTCTGACATAGTTGAGTAACAGTACCCGTTTATTATCTCAAAAGTATTTCGAGCAATTGAGCCAAAAGTAGCAGCTGAGTCATAGCATCTGGGAAAATAGCAACTGAGACAAAAGTAGCAACTGGTCAGGAAACAACTGATCCTGTAGCAACTGAGTATTTGCCTCAGGGGGGTAGTCGAATCGTTCCACACATTTTGGCCAATTATCTAAAAAAGGTACGATGTTACCTGTCACTTTCACTTATCACCAGGGGACCGACAAGGGACTGGATCAACAAAACTTCTATTTGAGATAATAAACGGGTACTGTTACTCAACTATGTCAGAAAGAGAAAATGGGTCTCTGCACAAGAAAGGGCGAAATCGAGCTCAAACGGGAAGCTTCCAGAAAAAATCAGATTTTTTGAATTTGGTTAGACAGTGCTGGAGTAATGTCCCGCAAGCTGCTTCCGGGCTCCAGTATCATCAACTCTGGCTCTACGGCTTCCAAATGGAAAGTGATATTTATGCACATCGCCCTCACCTCCAGAAAGGCTTGCTGTTCAAGCTATTGCATGACAACGAAAAACCACACAAATCTTTGAACACCCGCAGTACGCTCGAGCTTATGCTCAGGTAAATCGGAAAACCTTTCTGAGCTACATTTGAGCAATTCTGAAACCTTTTCAAGCAAAAAGTCCACGATTAAACTTTTTCAAGCAACGAGTAAACTTTTTTAAGCAACAGTAAAATTATTATTAGCACTTTCAAACTTTTTCGCAGCAATGGATAAACTTTTCTAAGCAACAACGAAACTATTCTAAGCCCTTTATAAACTTTTTCAGCCCGTGGCTAACGGGCACCTTTTTTAGTTTAATCGTGGCTTGTTTATGGCTCAGAATTTTTTCCGAACTACCTGAGTAGGAAACAAAATTTTATTTTACCCAGCGTATACCCGTTATCTGACACTAATAAATTACCACTTTTTCTAATTTCTCCGAACTGTCTTGCTGGAAATAACTTCCACGATCGGAAAGATGTCAAAAAATTTTTGAATCACTTTTCGCTTCTAAGTCGCCAGATTTCTGCGCAATTGAAATCACCCAACTTCTGTTGCGCTGGCGAAAACTCCAATAGTGAATACATTTCTTATTGATTCTTATTTTTCTTGAAGAAAGCACCTCTCGAAGAAAAGTGTCAAAGACTTTGGACAACCTAATAGTAGAAATTGAAGCATGCGCCTTTAAACAGTAGTGGCATTGATATTTTTTGAATTTTTTTCGCATTTTTTTTCAAATTTACTCTTGAGATTTCGAATGTCGCTTCAAAGATTTCTGATACAAAGAAATACAAAAAGATTTACAAAATTTTTGAGTTTTGTTCTTATAGTTTCTTGCGCTGCAGTCATACTCTCTTGATAACCTATTCTCTCGTTTTCTTGATTTCAAAAAGTCATCACATTCTGCGAAACATTCTTATTTGTTTCTCACCTTAATTGTGAAGTTAGGAATTTTTTATGTTCACTTTCTGGAAAAAATAATTTATTGGCCGTTTTAGACTGCAAGACTAACACACAAAGAGGAGAAATTGACCGAGTATCGACAAAAAGGAAGAACGATTATCAGCAAAAAGTGAGTTTCTTTTGTCTTTTTTATCAAATATTCAAAAAATTTGAACGACATGATTATGACGAGATAACATTGTTGGAGAGAAATGCAGCGGCAGTCCAATAGTTGAGTGAGAAGTTTGAATAGTTTTCAATAGTTGGTTCAGGGATAGGTTTTACTGATTCTCTGAAAATTGAACGATGTTGAAACCCAAAGCTACGGAAACTTACTTTGATTCAATTTTCTTCTGTTTCGTTCTCCGGTTCTGAAACCATACTTTGACCTGGTTGTCACTTAAACCAAGGGATTCAGCAAGTTTTGCTCTTGTAGCACCACTCAAGTATCCAGAATCAGTGAACGCTTTTTCGAGTTTCTAAAAAAACCGTACAGAATTGTTGTTGCTAATTTCAACCTTACCTCCAATTGATCATCAGTGAATACAGTTCTTGGTCTTTTTGGTCTTTCCAAATCAAGCTTAGCGGGAATTTCAAGAGTTTTCTCTGAACCATTCGCGCTCTTGATTCGAATAATTCTGATAAAAGAGTTGTCGTCACTCTCAGAAGCCATTTCGAGTGCAAACTCAGAGACTGAACGGGGAATGAGCTCTCAGGATATGCAACATATGGTAAAGATACTCGAAAGTGGGTGGGATCTGCTAGCAGGCTGTCAGCAATAATTGCAGTGCAAGCTAACATATTGTTCTTTTTGTTCTCGGGATGTATGAAGGGTGTGAGAAAGAGAGCCAACTTTCATCGAGTGGCGAAAACTCTCAGCAATCTAAATGGATTCATTAAAGTCACTAGAAGGAAGATATTTGATGCTTCGAGACTAAGGATAATTAGAGTTGAATGGGGGAGGGGGGGGGGGGGTCAGGTACGGTAATAATGCCGTAGAGTGTGTGCGTTGGTAATTAAAAGGACCTCCTAAGAAGATGTAATTATTAGGTTGTTTGCAGAAGTTTTTTGAATCAGAGGTGTGATCTTCAAATTTGAATTCATTAAAACTGGATTTTCTTGAGTAAAAATTTTTTGGTATTCTCATCTCTCGGTACCGTGTCTTGCCGAAATCCATGAAGCCAGAGCTTCCAGAAGTATTTAAAAAATGTTTCCGATTGTCAGAACCGGTATAATATTTTTATGAGTACTAGTTTTTGAGAAGTAGGTTCTTTCTGAAATAAATGTTGATTTCTTTCGCTGTTATGAAATTTTTTTAAAGTGTTTCTTCACCATTAGAATGTTTTCTGAGAAAACTTTTCTGATTCATCGAAATCCTGACTTTTCCTCGTATCTGTAAATACCTGAACTGTCTGTTAGCCACCAAAATACGACAAAGAATAAATAAGTTTATTAATCATCAACGCCTACAAAAAGCTGAAAATAGTGATCTACAGACAATTTATCAATATATTATGTAACAATTCCATAAATTGTCTCAAAGGAAGTTTCGAGACAAAACACCAGGTGTAGTGAGAGAGGATGAAGAAAGAATGATGCGAGAAGAAGAAAAATGAAAAAAGAATGATAAAACTGACGGTTTTGTATTGATATCGCCTGTTTGGTGCAAAATGTACCATTTGTTTTGATTGTTTTAGATTAGTTACAGAAGAGAGGTATAGAGTAATATGAGTTAGGCTGAAACACCTAAATACGCTAGCGGTACCTTACAGATACATTTTAAAAACGGAGAAAAATAGTTGCCAAGAAAACAGGAGAACCTTTTAAGAGAGAAGCTGATTTTCGAGTAGACAAAATATACACGTTTTGATCAGAAAAGGGTTAGAAATGACTAAATTGTGGGTGTTGAGAAAGTTGGCAGGAACGGGATTCAGATTATGGACTAGTGAGAAATAAAAGAGAGACACTGGAATTACATGTACTATTGATTGATTTGGAAATTGGATCAAAACATGCTGGGGAAGAGAGACTTTCTTGTTTCTTTTTTTGAGGATTCGGGAGCTTTTGATATTACACGGGTGGACGGTTTTATATGAGTCATCGATTATTAATAGCGGGGATCGGTAGGGTATAATAATTGTTGATTTCCTTTTTTTTCATGGTTGTTTAGTTTGATTTGATTTTTCAGAAAGAAATTTTGAAAAGAATGTACAAAGAAAGAGAGAAAGATGAAGAGACGCAGACACTCGTACGTACACGCAAAGGAGAGGAGGAGGGGGAGAGGAGGAAGAAGAAGAAGCAGTGAGAGACAGAATGACGTCATTCGGGATCAGTCCTGCAAAAATGCGTTGAAGAGGCATGGCTAAGAGTTTTTGAGCTAAAAAGATCGAAAGTATATAAAAGCTTACTTGGCACCATGAGCCTGCCGAACTGGCAATGAATCTGATGACAATTGTTTGGGTAGAGCTTGACTGGTACCGATTGAGTCTTGCGGCTGAAGAGAATCAAAGTTTTCATACATAATCACCCTGGAAAATCTTGCCTTCGACGGTTTACTGGAAGTTGGTTTTTTAGTAGTACCCATGTTGAAGACGAAGTTTCTCCATCCTAGTCGTTTTGTACCATGTTGTTGGGCAGCTGTCAAAACGGCTTTGTAGATTTGAGACCTAACAAATCGAGGGTAGGAGTCCTTGGCCATCAATGTGAAGACGTGTTCTTCAGAATTGTAAAATGCGAATCTCATTTGAGAAGCATCCTTTGCTTTTGCTATGCAATCCAACGTCATATCGAGTGTTCTTGAATCAACATTAACTTGTGCAGGTGCTCCTTGAGCCAAAAATTCTTCTCGTATTCTCCCTGCTTTCTCATAAATCTGCTCATTCGGAGCATATTTTAAATCCTGTATTGCTATCCAAAATCGTATATTTTCGGAAGAAAATTCAGATTCTAGGAAAGTCTCTAAGACTTGTCGTCCAATCGGATCCTTGACCAACTCCTGTACAGACAGACCCCATCGTTTTACCCGTTTTTCTGTGGGGATTTCGGCACTCGATCTTGAAAACAAAAATTATTCAATTTTTCTTCCTAACCAAAATGACTTACGTGTCGGTTGGTTGATTCCAGAAAGATGCCTCATCACTAATCCAAGGGTTAGATGGCTGTGGAGGATGTAGGAAAGGATCGAATTCCGCTCGTTGATCAACCCAAGTCACCATTCTGAAAAGCTTTATCTGAAGCTTTAAGCAGGTGGTTTTGTCAGAAAGTTAAATTGAAAACTTTTTAACGAATAATTTGATTTCCAGTATTTTTCGTCAGTACTTACGTATCGGATGCCTTAAGAGCCTTCAACCAAGGTTTTGTTTTTATAGCAAATCGTAATCGATCCATTAGACATCGGTAGCCTTGTGCATTCTGCCGTCGTATTTTCTTCTCTATTTTCATATAGGGGTCTTCGAGAAAGTTGGGACCTCCTCTGCTCGGTTTTCGAATTTTCCAGAACGCTCGTTCTTCCGAATCGAACACAACTTTATCAACCTTTTTCTTCTCTTTTTGCTGTTTCAGTTGGAGTTCTGATTGTTGAACGATGAATGCCCACATGTGAGCCAAGACATCTGCTAGCCTGGAATAATCACTCTTTTAATACTTTGACTGCTTCCTTCACAGAAACTTGTCTATGTGGAACCGTGTATGTAAGGTGATAAATTCTAAGCTCAGTCCGGTGGCGTTTGCTAAGCGAGTAGGAGCGATTCCTTATGATATTCTGATCCCTCCCACTTGACCTACAGGACTTTAGTCGGTCCGTCTGGTCATTTTACTTTTTTTTTTATTTGTACAGGTCCCGTTTCTTGCCAAATTATCTATCAACTTCCCCCATGCATTGCAAATAAATATATTATTATTTTTTTAATCATTTGCACTGTATTCAACTTGCTCTCTAGGTTCTCTTTTCTACTCTTCATATTCTGAAAGTCGATTCTAAAAAAATCTCTATATTCTTCCCTCAGAATCTAAGTTGAAAACTAATCTCTTTCTCAATAACGTTTTTGGTTGGGACATTATGCAAGCGTCATTTTGGAAGATTAACATTCAGTCACAGTGATGCGAGAATAGTTTGGATCTTATTTTGAATACATCGGGTTGCATAATCGATTTTTAGTGATCAAAGATCCGTACGGAAAAAATCGAGAATCATAAAAGTCAAAGTTATCTGATAACCAGAAGGATTCAAACAATCAAGTAACCTTTCATGTGAAAATTTTTCTGTGTAAGGTTTTTGATCCTAAACTCACCTGTTGAAGGATTCGACTTCATCTTCTTCTAACCCGTGTTTTTGTTCATTTCTAAGCAGTCGTTTATTGAGGTAGATTGCTGAAAAATATTGGATATTCGTTTTCCGAAAAAGTGTAGGTCGACAAGGAGAAATAGACATTTCTCCAATTAGGAAAAATCCCGAAGAAGGTTGAAAAACTCGAAAAAGTTACCGTATTCCACATCAGGAACAAGTTCAGCTTGAGACGGCCAGAAATATGGCCTCTGTAACCTGTAGAGAGTCCCATCATCTTTGAAAGGTTGACCCTGAAATAGTTTTTTGAAGAATAGACAAAATAAGGATAAAACTTACATGTTCGATAACGGGAAACATGTATCCGTGATGGAGAAGGAGGCTTGCTAAGTGACTGGCCTCTGCCTCGTCATCAGGAGCACCCTTGAATTATCAGGTTTGAAATTTATTCGAGAATATAATATAGATGGTAACTTACTCGTTCCAAAACGAGAGCTATCAACTGTTGACCAGTGATGGCGTGAGGCACAGCGATTCGGAAGTATTTGTGGGTTTTCAGTTGTGCACCCTCCATCACACGCTTCGCAAGCACCTCGATCTGGAAAACCTCTGCGGTTACTGTAGTCTATAATCCTGAAACTGGAATACCTTGGTCAACGGTGGCATCATACAAAATGCGGGGCTTGAGAGCGGCGAGCAGCCCAATCAACTCGATAACCACCTATCTTCTTCCGTTTTGATTAATTCCAGGTTCTGTAAAGTTTAGTATGGTTACTAATAGCAACAGTCTAGACGACAATCAAATCAGATAACAAAGAGGATGATAGTAATGAAAAATAATGAAACGGTAAAGCCAAAATGCTTGGATCCTTTAGTTCTCTGACTCTCTCGCTCCCTTACTTATTTCTTCTTCGGGGATGAGGGCTGCTGTGGTGCGTGGTGGGCGGGAGAAGGGGTGCTTATGTGTGTATATGTGAGCGAGCGTGGAGAGTGAGCGAATGAGTGTGTGCGGGTCTCTGTGCGGCGGCTGATGAGCGAGAGTACGAGACATAAGACGAAGCCTACTTCCTGAATCGGACACGCAGACGTATAAAGTCAACAACGCAGGCGGCTAGAGAGGGCGCCCTCCCTAGTCGCCGGGTCCCCTGCAGCCCAATGATTTCCGATAATCGAGCAGCCTGTCGTCTCTCGCTCTCTATTTAACTCGAGCTCCGAAAGAGCTCCGAGAGCTCCTTTCTGTGTGTCTCAGAGATGTGCGCGTGTGTGCGCGTGCTGCTGCTTCTCCTCTTTTTTCACTTCACGAATCGATCTCGTCGTCTCGCGTTTGTCACAATCAGCAGAAGAAGAAGAAGAAGAAGAAGCTATTCCTGCCAGGCTTCTCTCCAGATCTGCGTCTCTCTTTCACTTCTTTCTCCTTTTATTCAATTTTGATGTGCGGGGAGGCTTCCACGACGACGACGACAGCAACAACGGAGCGAGCTTCTTCCCTCTTCTTCGTCTCAGTCTCTTTTCCATATATGGGTGTGTGTTGCTTTTTTGGTAGTAGTGGCGAAGGATACTACTACGTTCTTCGCTTCCTTCTTATAGCCTGTGTGGTGAAAAAAATGGAGAAGAAATAAGAGATGGATGAGTTTGTGTTCGATCTCACTTAAATTGTTTTTTTAAGCAGAAATGATACTGATTGCTTTGCTAAACGTGGAGATTGAATACATTTTTGTATTCAAAAACTATAAGATCGGATGGAGGCTTATATGCCGGCTTATGAGTGTTTCCTGGGGAAATGATGAACTGTGCAGATAGAAATGTGATTGGTATTTCAGAAAAGTTTAGGTTCAGACTTTTTTCTTCATGAGGAAGTGACTTTGACAGAATCAATAGGAAATAACAAGTGCAATCGTTTTGATCGGCAATTTGCTGACTCAATCTCTACGCCTCTTCATCTTCTCCGTCTTCTTCTCTCCACTACTTGGAAATTTATGCGTACTCTTTCTCTTCTTCACACGCCATCCTTGTTCCCTTGCAATGCGATACTTCTCTCGAATCATCAAAAAAAAGAGAATCGTCGACTCTAAACGAAAGGAAAACCTGAATATAAACAACTCATAAAATGTTCTATATCACTTGGGAAGAAGTACAAAAAGTATGGAATACGGTGTTCAATATGGTGTTTGCACACTGAAGTATGTCTCGTTTTGTCCTTCCCGCACACTCACGTACCCAAAAGCCGAGAGAGATAGAACGACAGGTAGCAGAGAGAGGGAGAGAGGGAAGACAGACAGAAAAATATACCATTTTCTATGTTTGTTCATCACGTTTCACAATTTAGAGTCAACAATGATTTAGATTTAGACCTAAATGATTTTTTTGTTCTTTCTTGAAAAAAACATATCTCGTGATGAAATCTGATGATATTTATCTGCTGATTTCAGGGACCAACAACGGAAGAGGAACGCCGTCACTCGCCTCTTCCGAAACAAATCGACGATGGCTACGACGACGTTCTACACGAAACAAAGGTGCAACTGGATAGAAGGAAGAGATGCAAAAGTTGATGAGGTTATGCGAGAATGGATGCATAAGTTAGTTTTTGAAATTTTAAAAAGAGAAATCTAATACAAAATCCAGAAATTTAAAGTATTAGCGGATCCAATGTCTGTATTGGATCATGATGGATTGCTTTTGATTAGTCAAACAATCGTTTTGCAGATTCTGCACACTCCAAGATGTCAAGATTTGTGTTTCCACATTCAACGTTAACGGAAAAAGCCCTCAGTCCGTATTCCCTACATGGTTCTCACAGAATAAAGAGGATATTGCTGAGTTCTATGCTGTCGGGTGAGTTTTTCGGACTTCCGCTTTTGATCAGTCATTCGAAACCTAAAAAAGTGATAATAAAAATGTGTTCATCAACTTCAGTCATTAGAAAAACAATACAAATAAATGTTCTTTAAAAACAAAGTTGTTCAGCCTTCAAGAAATGGATCTGTCTGTTGGAACCTATATAATCGACAATACAAAGAAAATGGAAGGTTGGGTCGATGCAATCCATTGTTCTTTACCAGGAGGACGAACTCATTTCAATGTGGTAAGATTGAAATTTTTCAAAATTTTCGTTGAATTGAAATTATTTACAGGTCGGTTCGATGCGACTCGTTGGAATTTTCGTTATCGTTTTTCAAGCCGCACATAGCAAAGTTCGAGTTAGTGATGTGAATGTGAAATACGTAGCAACTGGTATATCGGTGCTTGTCAACAAATTGGGCAACAAAGGAGGAACCGCTATTTCAATGAAGATGAATGATACATGGGTGTGCTTTGTGAATGCTCATTTTGCGGCTGGAAACAATGAGCTGGAACGGAGAAACCAAGATTTTCGAGATATTTATAATGGTGTTGTTTTTTATCCAAGAAGTCAACAAGACGGGTTGGTAAGTTATCCTTGAGATTTTCTAATTTGTAACGAAACCATTTTTATAGAGAGACCGACCTCTTGAAGTACCTGTTATGTGTCTCTATGATCACGATGTTGTTTTCTGGTTTGGAGATTTAAATTATCGACTGAATACGGATATATACGGAATATCAAATGATGAAGTGCGACGGATAGCTTCTAGCGAAAAGTTTGGAGATTTGTTCCAATATTGTCAGGTGAGATTACTGTAGAAGTTTCCTGAAAGTAGCAACTGGAAGTTTTAGCTTCAAGAGCAGATGGCACGTGGCACAGTCTTCAAAGACTTTCAAGAACCAAAAGTCTTACCATTCCGGCCAACATACAAGTACGATTGTGGTACTAACACGTGGGATACTAGTGAGAAAGGAAGAGTTCCTGCATGGACAGATCGTATTCTGACATACAAAAAGTATCCACAAGTTGGATTGGAATTGATGTAAAGGATTTTTGTAATCATACTGAAAAACGATTGAGCATTTTTAGACGGCCTATGGAAAGTGTTGAAACTATCACCATTTCGGATCACAAGCCTGTTCGAGCTTTGTTCAATTTGAAAGTAAAAAAGATCAATGAAAGCGGGGCGAACAGCGTTTACGAAGAAGCGATACGAGAATCGGATCGACGAGCGAATGAAGAGTTGCCACAGGTTCAATTGAGTCTCAACGAAGTTGATTTCGGTATCGTAAACTATCTGGAACCAAAAACGCGCAGTGTTATTGTACAAAACGTCGGAAAGTCAAAGGTGAGATATTGTATTTTTTTAAAGTAATAGTTTTTGATGAATGAGTGTCAAAAAATGAATCGGAACTAAATATCTATCTCTCTGTCTCTAGCCATACTGTTCTGTCGTTACTCCACGTCCACCATCACATAGTGCATCCCATTACCTTCGAAAATCTCTCTATTTTCTGTATTTACACTGAAATCGCTGTTTATTTGGCATGATCGAATTAGTTTGCTGTTCCTCATCATATGACCTCTTTTTGTGTCAACAATATCCTCTATTTATGCTGAACAATAAATTTTTTTCAGGTGCGGTTCTCATTCAAAGTCCGTCCGAATGCACAGAACAATCAAGAAATTTGCGAGAAATGGCTGATGGTGAGTTCAATTATCTTTATGAATGAAGAGGAGATGAAGATGCCTATCTAATGGTTTTACAGCATTTTCGTTTTTTTTTTCAAAGTATTTACAAAAGACAAAGGAAGGGAATAATGGTAGAGAATAAAGCGAGACAGTATTCCGGTTAGAGATAAACATCGAAAGCTTCTCGCTCTCATCTCTGCCATCTTTTTCGTGTCATCTTTGTCTTTCTCTTCTTTGGGAATTCATTCAAAAAATGAGATTGTGTTCAGGTGACGCCTACTCACTACCAAATACCTCAAGGTTCTTCTATGGAGGTAAGTTTCTCTCTCTTCTCGGTTCGCTACATTCTTGAAAATTAATTTCAGATCAGTTTGACAGTTTCGATAAGCACTGATATTGTTCGACGAATCCAAGATATTTTACGAAATGGACAACTCCAAGAAATTCTCGTTTTACATCTTGAGAATGGACGCGATTATTTCATACCTGTTACTGCTGTCTACAACAATTCATGCTTTGGAAGTACTTTAGAAAAGCTTTTATCAGCAAGACCCAAGAAAGAAGTTAATTTAATTGATTTTGTAAGTTTCAAGAACCTATTTTTGTAAATTAAAATTTCCAAAAGTTCAGGATGACTTGGAGAGTTCTTTATCGGATAATTGTCCTCCGAATGTTCCTCGTGTCATTTATCGACTGGTGATGGCTCTCAGAGCTCGTGGTGCAGTGCAACTGAATATAGAAGAAGAACAAGATAACGAAGTGTTTAATCGAATTCGCCAAGCTCTTGAAACTGGACACCCTGACGACATGAGTGAGTTTTATTAAAGCGAAAATGAAGTTATATTTTGTTTTTCAGGTCAAATAGCATCTTCTTATATGTTGTACAGTGCATTAATACGACTTCTCGATTCTCTAGATGAGCCAATTATTTTAGAAGGAATGTTCAAGATAATACACAAAGAGATGATACGATACAGAACGGATGCTAGGCAGTGAGTCCGATATTTCAGTATACGGGTAACAGAAATACTTTTCAGACTGTGGACTGTGGTTCGATCAAGTCTTCCGAAGCCAAATCAAGCAGTTTTAGAACTTATTTGTCTTATGCTCCGCGAGTTTTTCAGCCAGAAATACGAACTCAGAGGTATCCTAACAAACAGAACTTTTTAATCCAATAAAATATCAGTTTCAGATCAACTATCCCTTTGGGGAACCGTGATGTTCCGACATGATATTACCGAAGAAAAAACGCACGGAATGTTTGCTACAGTTCTGCAGACGATGTGCGACTATGCAGCTGACGTTGCTCTTGGATGAATATCTCATAGATCGAGAGTGCAACTTTTAGGAAAACCTTTTTTCTGTAATGATCCCAAACGGGTACTCATTTTGTCTTTTTTGAATTTCAATTAACTTTATTTCATTTTTATCAAAAACTCACTCCCAGTTTCTCCGAATTTAGCCATTTTTTTCTTGTTTGATATCTTTTTTGAAATGCCATAAGACATCATACATTTCGTTCTTTTTTTTGTTTTTGTGATATTTTTATTTGCCCCCTGTTCAAAAAGTGTCCTTTCCGAATTCAATGCATAAGCTATAAAACAATTACCTCATTTTGTTTGCCTTTTTTGAATATTTCTCTTTTAAAACCCGATTTCGGTTTGATGCTTATTGTTTTGTCGATTTTGGTTTTAAATATATTTCTCTAATAATTTTTCAGCTTGACAAAATGTCTTGGCTTTTAGCAGACATGAAGAAGAAAATGAATGATGCCAAATCGACGATTGAGCAAAGTCTGAAAAAAGTGTCCGAAAGCGCGGTAAGGCATTATTTTGTTAGGTAATCAATCCCTCCCAGTTTAAGACGGATCATCAAAAGAGTGAAGAAGAGTCAAAAAGTGAAAATCCACAATCTACTGAACCCGAATCCGACAAGATCGTCGAACAACCCGAAGAAACAACGGCTCAACAGGAATCTACAGCTGAATCTGCTAAGAAATCGATGGCTGCTCTTTTCGGAGGATTGAAGGTTGGAGGAGGAGTAGCATCAAGTAAATTGTTCGAGTACGCTAAGGACGCTGGAAAAAAGCTTGGAGAAGTGAAGAATGCTGTTATTGAAAATGTAGGTCAAAATGTAGAAAATGTGGTACTGAAATAGTATGTTTCTGTTTTTTTCAGACAATGCTTGGAGAATTGAACAAAGAACAAAACGATTTTGAGAAGCAACTTCAAGAGGAACGAGAAAAACTCAAAAACATTGATTTGCCATGGCAAGGACTCCCGGACGAAGTTTCAGCAAAGAAGCAGATGATGTCATTGTCAACGGATACCAGAAACTTTCTTCGTGATTCTGCAGCCAATAGTGAATACAGTTTTGAGCAACAACAAGCAATGGCTGCTCTACTTCTCAGAGAAGACCCAAATTTAGCTAACGTTCGATTCCAATTAGTCCCAAAACAGTGAGCATCCGTTTTCAAGGAAAGTACAGTAGCCTGATTTCAGAGTCAAAGAAAACCAATTCTGGCAGAACTATTTCTATCGCATCGGACTTATTCGTCAATCTATGCTTAACCAGGGAACAGGAAGAATTAGTCCAGTTGTGGCTGCACCTGCAACGTCTACAGAAGAAAAGAAGGTTGAAGAGCAAAAGATAGAAGCTGCCCCGGAAGTTTCTGACACGCAGGAGGCGAAGGTTGAAGAACCAGAAGTCGTTAAGGAAGAAGAAGTTAAGCAAGAGTCTGAACAAGTTCCAGCAAATAATGAATCAGAAGAAGACGAGGAGGTGAAAGAGACTGTTCTCGAGCAACCAGCAGCTCCTGGAGAGCAGACATTAACTAGTGTCGGTGAGTCATATAAGACAGTCCGGCGGTCCAGTGGAGCTTGTATGTGCAGTGCCACGTCAGCTACTCACCGAAGCCACAACCACATAAAATCTTGAATGAATTTTCAGACGAAGAATGGGAACGAGAAATTCTCGCGGATCTCAATGACTACGAAGATGTCGTCGAAAAAACTGGAGGAAAAGACGAGGAAGCATGGGAGGCTGAGATTCAGGAACTCCTCAATGCTGAATAATTTTTCTTTTTATTCTCCTTATTTCACTTTCCCCCCAACAAATGTTTCGTGTAAAATTGTATATAACATCACCCCGTTTATGCTCTCCTGTCCCGATTTTTATCTGTATTGTGAATGAATCCGTCGTGATATAAAATACGGACTTTCCGTTGATTTCACCAATATTGTTAATCGTTGATTTCGAATCTAACCAAATACCTTCCAAATATTATTCAGATTCACTAACCGATATTCGATTATTACAGAATGGATGCTAGTTGTCTATTCAAAGCTTTGTTAGCAACCAATTGGGCTCTATTCCTATGGGATCAATATATTACATATCGGCAATACAAGTGAGTAATTTGGAAATTCTCTGAAAAAATCGAGAGTATTTCAATAATGGGGTTATTCAAGGAGTCGGCAAAAAAGGAAAAAAAAACTCCACGAAAATTCGGAGAGTGTCCCAATCTGGCTGAAACTTTTGGGAAAACTGGAGAAAACTATAGGAAACATTTTGCCAGTTTGGGGGCAAAATATCGACTTTGAAAATTTGGGTGGAATTTCAGACAAATTTTCAAAGTTGATAATTTGACCCCAAACTTCGGCAAAATGTTTCCTATGGTTTTCTCCAGTTTCCCATAAAGTTTCAGCCAGGTTGGAACACTCTCCAAGTTTTCGCGGAGTTTTTTCCTTTTTTGCCGACTCCCTGAATAACCCCATAATTCAGAGTCCATCGAGATGCTGAAAAACGTCCTGAAGAGGTGAAAGAATTGATAAACGAGGAAGACTACAAGAAGGCCAGAGATTACAAGATCGATAATCACCAGTTTGGATTTTTGCAAAGTTGGTTCAACCAACTTCTTCTTACTGTAAGTTGCGATTCTGAATGGTGTTCAGGTCAACAAAAAAAAATTCCAGGCTCAACTCGTCGGTGGATACTATCCATTCCTTTGGTATGCCACTGAAAAGTATCCATTCCACGTGGCTGTCTTCCTTTCTATCAACTCAATTATCGAAACTATCATTGATCTTCCATGGGATCTCTACCACACCTTCATCATCGAAGAGGCTCATGGATTCAACAAACAGACAGTTCCATTCTACTTTTTGGATAAACTCAAAAAAATGCTTGTTGGATTCGCTCTTACTATGCCAATTGTCTATGGAATCGAATGGATTGTTGTCAACGGAGGACCATATTTTTTTGTCTACATCTGGGTGTTCATTTCTGTGATTGTTTTGCTGTTGATGACGATTTATCCAACATTCATTGCCCCTCTTTTCGACAGATATTTCCCATTACCAGATGGTGATCTCAAGTCTAAAATTGAGCAACTCGCTGCTTCTCTCAACTATCCCCTCACGAAGCTCTACGTTGTCAATGGTTCAAAACGATCCGCCCATTCGAACGCCTACATGTACGGTTTCTGGAAGAACAAGCGCATCGTTCTCTATGACACTCTGTTGAGCGGAGCTGAGAAAGAAAAAGTGCACAAACTGTACATCGATGCCGGAGAGAAAATCGAAGAAACTGAGAACGACAAGAAAAGAGGAATGAGCAATGATGAAGTGGTGGCTGTTCTGGGACACGAGCTTGGTCACTGGGCACTTTGGCATACTCTCATCAATCTGGTTATCAGTAAGTCCAGGAATTTGGAAATAAATCAAAACTTAATCAATTTCAGCCGAAGTCAACCTATTCCTCTGTTTCTCCGTATTCGCTTACTTCTACAAATGGGATGCACTTTATCAGGTAAAGAAGATTGCATTATATCAGTCATAAGATATATTTTCAGGCATTCGGATATCGTGATACTCCACCAATCATCGGAATGATGCTCGTTTTCCAATTCGTTCTTGCCCTCTACAACCAATTCGCTCACATGGGACAAGTAATTCATTCTCGTTCCGCAGAATTCGGCGCCGATGAATTCGCTGCTAAACTCGGTCATGGAGACAATCTGATCGGTGCTTTGACTAAACTAGGAGTTGACAACCTCTCGATGCCAATCAATGATTCTCTCTACTCGTGGTGCGTCCATACTCATCCACCAGTCGTCGAACGAGTTGCTGCTGTCAGAGCATTCCAAGCCAAGAAGCAGTAAATTTCTCTTGTTCTACTTGTTATATATCCACCAAAGAAATCGAACCAATTTCATTAATTTTATTGAGATGCCAAAGTATTTTATTTTCTTAGTATTTATTAAATTGCTTCACTTTTATTGCATTTCTGGGTAATAATAAATTTATACTGCTCATTGACCTCGTACAATACTCTCCTTGATTGGATATCAAAATTAGGAGCATTCTTGAAAATCACACCGAGAGAAAGGATGTTGGGATTGACCTCTTCGGAAGGTCAACATTCAAATTTTAAGGTAGACATCTAACTTTCTTATCAGAAAAGCGCAAACAACTGGTTGAAAGTTGACAAATTGGTTCTGAAAAACCAAAAAAGTATTAAAATTAATTCCGGTTGAGAATAATAATTCCGGTTTCTCGGAACTCCGAATTCCGTTTACCAACTAAAAAAATAAGCCAAGATTATGAAAAGATTTTTTGAATCAATACAAAGAAATTTATTCCCAAACGACTCTGAGTTTATGTTCTCCCTGCGGCGGTCCATAATGTTCAGCCCATGCGCCTTCACAAGTACATCCTTCGGGCGCAGGAATGTGATAAACACCAAAATGATGTCTCTCTTCGGATGGAAGCTTCTCTTGACCTCCTCTATAAATGAGAGCAATCGTCAATGTTTGATTGTAATCGAGAATCCCAGTGGCTGGTTTGATACGAAACAAATCATTTCTGGTGCATTTCACTTTGAATGCTTGCTTCATTTCACTCTTGTTTGTGATCTTCAAATACGACTTTTGCTCTTCTTGAGGATCTGGACGAAACTTGATCTGGAAACGAGAAAAAAATGTCGAAAATATTTTTAATGGAATGTTTTTTACCTTTTCAGGTGGATCTGTCGAAATGTATTGTTTCTTGTCAGCCATTTTTTGAATCGAACGTGCAAATTCGATAAAACTAGAACTGAATTTATGAAGAATGGACACTTATGAATGACATAAAATATATAATAATGATTCAAGAGTCACGCTTGTATGTGCGATTTTTAATTGTCTTTGAATTGAAAAAAAACATTATTTTTCTGGATTTTTGTTTAAGAGTGTACTGTGAACCTAAATTTTTCGTAATCAATTTTTAAAAGTTCAATTATGAATAATCTTTTTCATTTTCGAAAATTTTCCCCATGCAGTAATCCTTTTCAATTTCCAATATTTTCTCTTACAATAATCCTTTTTCGAAAATTCCACCCTACAGTAATAATATACAATATTATTGTCGGATTAAAAAAAGTGACACCTGAAAATCTCGGAGACGGTTCTCGTGTCGATTTACGAGGGGGCGGAGCGAAAACGGATACTGTAGATAACAAATTTATTTATGTGAATTCAGTCGGATTTTCTGAACAAAATTTTGATTTCTTGGTATAAAAATGATCGCTAGAATCTCTAGAATCTATTTTTCAGCAAAAAACTAAACTTAAGCGCGAAAGTAGCCCGAACGAGCCGAAATTCTGAAATATTACGTTTTTGTCGCACTTTTTCGTAGATCAAAAAAGCAAAAGTTTTCAAATTTTCAGGTGTCACTTTTTTAATTCGACAATAGTAATCCAATTTTTCTTTCATGAAACCAATATTGGCATCTTCCTTCTATATAAAACACTAGACGCCGCACGGCTTCGCGGTAGGGAACCTAGATTTAAAAATTGGAAAGCGCGCCAAGTTTGGACGCGTAGAGCGGTCGCGTCGCGGGTTTTCGGTGAGTAGCGACTCAACAACGCTTAACTTCATGTTTTTTTCAAAACACGTTTCAAAATTTTCGAATATGGCACGCAGCCAACTTTTGTGTGCGACGAAGCGCGCGTTTTTCAGGTTCCCAACCGCGATGCCGTGACGCCGCGCCGTAGGCGCACCAGCCATCATTGAAAAAATTCAAAGGGTTTTTATCCAGAATATCCAAACCTACAGTACCAGTCATCAAGATTTACATAAACATATTTTTTAGTTGATTTTCGGCGATTTGTCTATTTTCCGAAGTGTAGATGCCAGGCTGGTGTGCAATAACGATAACAATTTCGATACAAAACTATTTATTCTCTCAAAAAATAAAAAAAAAGAAAACGATTTTCTACTTTTTATCTATTTCTTTGGCTGTTTTGACCTTATTCTTCGATTGTTCAACATCGTCTTCAAGTGTTGGATATTCATCAGTTTCAGGAGTTACTATTGGATCACTGATAACGGCTTGCTGAAAATTAAATAAAACTTATTAGATGTTCACTAAATTTTCTGAGATTCGAATTTTTTGATTTTTTGATTTTTTTGACCTTCAAAATTTCCGATTTCAATTCACAGAATCTCAGAATTTCAGAGTTTCAGATTTTTAGATTTTCCGATTTTCAGACTTTCGAAATTTCGGAATCTCTTAATTTCAGAATACCAGGATTTTAGATTTTCAGATATTGTTCAGAATTACAGAATTTCTGGATTACTGTCCTTCCGATTTTAAGGTGATCTTCAAAAAACTACAGTAACCTTTTCGTCGTTCTTCTTAGGTTCATTTTTCTTCTCTTTTTCCTTATCCTCGTTATCTTTTGTCTTTTTTTCACTCTTCTTTTCTTCTTCTGTTTTCTTTTCCTTTTCTGATTTCGTTTTGTTTCCTTTTTCCACATCTTTATCATTGCTCTTCTTATCTTCTGATTTTGTTTTCTTCTCCGAGTTTTTCTGAAAATATTTTACTTGATGATTTTCAAATGAAATAAAAATAACCTCTGATTTCATTGATTTCGTTTTATCCTTTGCCATTTCATCTGGTTTTTGAATTATTTCAGGAGAAGCAGGAGTCACTGGAGAATCTTTAATTTCTTTTGAAGGCGTTGTCGATTTCTCTTTTCTCTTTTTCTTCCCACAACATTCCTAAATTAATTCCTAGTTCAAGATGATTCTGATTGCACTTACGAATATAATAGAAATAGCTGGAAGAAGCACTAGAAGAACTAAGGAATCCATTGATTATCTTCTTCTGAATGTCTAAAAATTTCCAGCTGAAATGACGAAGACTTCGAATGTACTGATGCTATGGGAATAATTCTTATTGGAAGAGACAAACGTGGATGCAAAGTAAGATTTTGTAAAAAAAGGTAAAATGCAACCAGACTACTGTAATCTACGGTAACCTTCTACAGTAGTCAAAATATACTCAATGCGATCTGAAAGTTTAAAAGTCATCCCATTCATTTTCGAATATTTCACCCTTCAGTACTCCTATTAATTTTCCAATATTTTTCACTACAGTAATCCTTTTTACTTTCGAATATTTTTCCCTAGAGTAATCCTTTTCATTTTCCAACAATTGCTCCTACAGTAATCCTTTTCATTTTTGATTTTTTTTTCCCTACAGTAATCCTTCTCATTTCGGAAAATTTCACCCTACAGTAGCCCTTTACATTTTCGATTATTTTCCCTACAGTAACCCTTTCATTTTCTATTTTTTCCCCCGACAGTAATCCTTTTCATTTTCCAACAATTTCTCCTGCAGTAATCCTTTTTCTAATCTTTTGAATTTGTAAAAAAAATGTTGTTTTTTTTGTAATATAAAATTTACCTACAAAATTCCAAAATTGAAGAAAAATCAGTATTTGCTTACTGTGATTCTTTTCAACTATTTTCAGTGACTTCAAATCTCTTATTTCAGATTATGAGATGAGCTCGATTGATTACTGTGTATTACTTATTTTCCTTCGGCAAACAAACTGATCTGGATTACTGTATTCCAACATATTACCACAATATAAATTTGAAAATGCACACATCATCTCTGTTTACTTTTCTTTTTTAAAAGTGCGACTTTCACTATTTCTTCTATCTGTTCAAATTTCTCTTCTTTCCCTCCTCTTTCTTCTTTTCATTCAGGTGACAGCTCCTCCATTTTTTCTTTTACTGTATATTATTTTCTGAATAATTGTCTTTAAAATAACAAAATTTCTGAGATTCTGAGACTCTGAAACACCAAAATTCTGAAACACCGAAATTCTGAAACGCCGAGATTCTGAGAATCTGAAATTCTGAGATTCTGATTTTTTCAGAAAAAAAAATTTTGACATATTTTTATTTTATCAATTAACTTATTAAAAGAATCAATAAGATTTCTACAGTAACTCTCTGAATTTTCAATATTTCGGAAAAGTTATTAAAAATTAGGTTTTCTGAGATTTCGGAACTTTTTTGAACATTTTCGCAACAATTTTAGGAAAATAGATAACTTTAAAAACAATTCATTGCAATAAAAATGTTTGGACGGAGTCCCTCTTTCAGGGAAATTAAATTGGTATCCTGAACCACCCACAGATTTGAGATGTCTCATTGAGTATTTCATGACAAACCCACATTTTCATTTCGTTTCCAAAAAAGACGAAATCGCGTGAAAAATCTTAATCATCAAGAGAACCCAAAACAAAAAGAACCCCAAAACTCTTCTCTCAACCAGAATTTCTTTTTGGCTCACACAAGATTTATGAGCCAATTTCCAATTTTCACCCCCAGGAAGCCATTGACGCTTTTTTTTCTGGAGAAGGAGAAAAGGCGGTAGGAGAAGGAGTGTTCAAATGGCTTTTTGGTATACTACTCCTTCTCTTTTTCTCGATCTCTTCCTCTTTTTACAGTATTACAATGAAAGAATGAACCCTACCTCCTCCTGCTTTTTGTCCCATCTGTTCATGGTCCAAAGAATCATAAGGACACTTGAGAGGCAATAGTAATTATAATGGGTGGTCCCAAAAAGCGGAAATTCAAATTTGTACAGTAGTAGAAGAACAAAAGACATTGGAAAAATTTGATTTATTCTTTTCGGGAACATTCAAAGGAAATCGTGATTTATCGTAGCCCATATTCAGCTTTGAAATTTTTTATTAGAATTGTGTTTTCTTTTTTCTTGCAGCAACCAAAATTAGTTGGAAGATACGGAAACTCCAGTTTCAAGATTCGATATTTCAATCAGATTTTTTTAGAAAACAATTCTTTGCATAGAGAAAAATGAAGATCATTAAATGCATTATATTATTCTGGCCCAATATCAGGGTGGGCGGAGCTTGGGTCCGGTAGCAAAATCCTAAAAGGAGCATGTAGTTTTCGTAATTAATTTTTGATTAATTTTCCGATTTCTTGATGAATTGTATGAATTTTTCATAGTTTTCTTTGTGGTAATGCGATTTTTCAAATTTTTTGAACGAAAAAATTCAAAGTCGAGGAATCGAAAAAATGGAAAATCAGTCAGAAAATAATTTTTAAAAAATACATGCTCCTTCAAGGATTTTGCTACTGGACCTATTGTCGAATTAAAAAAGTGGGACCTGGAAAATTTTGCGGGCGGCACTTATTTCTGTGAATTTAGTGGGATTTTCTAAACAAAATTTATATTTCTTGGTAGGAACATGATCGTTATCATCTTTAGAATCTGTTTTTCATCGAAAAACCGAACTTAATTGCGAAAGTAGCTCGAACGAGGCGAAAATCTGAGATATTACGTTTTTGCCGCACTTTTTCGTAGATCAAAAAAAGCTACGCCTTTCAAATTTTCAGGTCCCACTTTTTTTAATTCGACAATAAGCTCCACCCACATTCAAATTTTTCGGGCAGCAATGCGCATTGAAATTAGACCAGAGTAATGTCTTTCTCTAAACTTTTTTCCAACGAATTTTTTTTTGAAAATTACTCTGGAGTTGCTGAGAAATTCTCTCAGTGAGAATTCCAAAATGTGTCTTCCCCATTGTGTATATACATTCTCTCCCAGGTGCACTATTTGATAACCCACTTGTAATTCTAGTACTACCTGATGGTCCCTTATGTCACATTGTTTGGTGAGGGTATTGTATTTGTTTATGGGTTCATAACGATATCTGTTAACCTTTAAACCAAAATGGATCCAAGATTTTGGAATATAGTTCTGATGATTGTTTTTTATTCGAAGATCTTGATAAATGATTCGTTTTCTGCAAACCTATTCAATCACATAGATAAAATCTGGGGAAAATGTCATCATTAATTGACAGCCATGGGAGAAAGGGGTGTAATTAACGCCTAATTATTTTACAATAAAGTTTGGTAACCATTAGGATATCGATATCATGTTACTGCAAAGAGGATCAAACTGGTTTATCGTTTTTCAGAGTTTCGAACGATTTAAGTTTAAAAATAGACAAATGAAATCTTATTCAATGATCCGAGAACAATAGTAAATAACCATCTTCATCCACTTCTTAATGCTTTTTTATTCTTAATCTTGCAGCAATAAAACGCAAAATAGGTCGCTAGGTCAGTGTAGCTCTCATTCACCCATATATTTCACCCTTCTCACGACAATTTCTCTACGTATCCACCAATCACACCATGCCTCTTCCGCTTTTCTGCGTCTCTCCATTCAACACACAGTAATCCCCAATGTCTGACCCTCAACAAGTGTCCCCCCATACAGTCCGTCCACCCTGTTCTCCCGTGTCCCCACACCCTTTACACACGCGTACACCCTCCTCGGTTAGAGAACGAGAGACGGGTGAAACAGTGTGTCGAACGGGGAGAGTGCAAAGAAACCGGCATCAAGAAAATGGTGGGTAACACAAGAATTCAAATGTGGAAACGAGTCTGCAGAGAAAGCGACCCCTTTTTTGTCTCTTTTTTATAGTTTCTCCGCTTTATCTTTGTTATCACCTGCTTTAACTTTGATCAATCGATGAGCCAGTGTCATAGAGCACTCATCGATAGACTGTTTGAAAATGATCGATTTTTTCAGGCATAATTTTCAAGAAAGTTCGATTTGAAACGCTAAATTCGTCTCTGTATTCTTATGCATCCCACCGGACATTCAATGCTAGGTCCGACCGGTGGTCCCTATCATCATCCGCTGCCTCCGAACCCTGTTCCTTATCATGACCAGGTATAATTTTTAGCTGAAAAGTTTATCACAAAAAGGCTTGTGTTCAGAAATCAGGTCTTTATCGAATCCGGTATTGGATTTCAGTACCCTTTTTCCCTCCATTGTTTCTTTGTTCTTTTCGTTAAGATCGTAATCCAAATTTTATCAATAGTTCATTAGAGTTCCATATGAAACCCACAGCTATTTCTATCCAGTATATTTTTTCTTCTTCAAAAACTTCCTTTCAGGTCCCCACGACGTCTCATCCGTCGTGGCACACAGCTTCCTATTCAGGACTCCCAACACCTCCGTATCATCCCTATCCACCTCCGCAAGTCCAACCACCTCCTAATTATCCTCCTATGCCTCCGCAGCAACATCCACCACAGCATCATCTCCAGATGACTTCACACCAACCCCAGATGACTCAGTTGTTGACGCAACAACAGCTACAGCAGCAGCAACATATTCAACAAAATCAGCAGCAGAGGTAAGAAGGGAAAAAATAGATGGTTATCTAGAAGACGCCACACCTCATATTGATTGGTGACTGCTTCGCCCAACTTAAGACGGGTGTGACAGGCAGTTGAAATAGTTGAATCGAAATGGGAGGGGAGAAAAGAGAAACGGCGGAAATGGGTGGGAACGAAATGGAAAATAAATGGGGTATAGACACACAAAAACGAGGGTAACGAGCGAATTCTTGATGGGAGGTATTTCAAAAAACGACTGCTGGGGTAACCTCCAGCAACATATGTTCTGAACAACATTCTGATTCTAGTTTCCACTTTTCTCTTCTCCTTAATTTTTCAATTGAAGACTTATAACTATCACTTTCAGTTCGGCATATTCGTCCCCATCTCACGCGCCTTCAACACCTATTCAAAATCAGAAAGCACGAACAGAACAATGGGTTCAGTCATGGCCGTATGCTCAGTCTCCAGCTCCATCCGTCGCTCCTTCTGTAATGTCTTATCACCAGAACGATGATCGGATGTCGATGCTGAGTGTGAACACTTCGATGACAAATCAGTTTCCCGATTCTCAAAGATGTTTCTCATCGAATGGGTCGACATGTGAAAATGTGAATCCCGAAATGGCACAAACAAATTGGGCGCAAGGAGCCGAGCAGGCGATTATTGTTAGTTTGGTATTCGAAACGTAAGCAAGTTATTTTTTACAGGAATGGTTCAATACGAAAGACCCTCAAAGAAAGTTCAACATGGCAATGACAATACGAGAGTGGGTCAAGCGGGATAAATTGGTACAAGTGGATCCAGCACAACTTCCGGTAGGTTTTTGAAACCAAACGGTGTGCCACATTATGAATATTTCAGGGTTGCATTCAAAGGCTTCTTCTAATAATCCACGATGGCATGAAACCCCAACAAATTCAAACTCCGCCTAGCTATTATGTAAGTTTGAATTGAGTATGACTTTAATTTTAAATATCTTTTTGCAGCCTCAACTTTGGTGTTATCTCCTAGATATTCTAAATCGATTAACCAGTTATCGAATAACTATTCCGAATATACATCAAATTGTTCAATTATTCGAACCGAAAGGAAACCAACAATACGAGTTTCGTGATCTTATATGCAATGCCATGCAACCGACTCTCGTATGTGCGAAACAAGTGTTCGACATATTAGAAAATATTATAAAATGTCTTAATAACCCGAAATATGACAAACTGAGAAGTGATTTCGCACGGAGCATGAAATTCGAAAAGATGATTGGAGCACTTCTTGGTCACCTCGGTCAACAGATTCCGCCGAGCCAAATCAATCCAACTATTCTGGTCGTTCTACGGTTTATTATCAGTAAGGATGCGGTTCTCAAAAATTGTTTGATCTGGGGACCGGATCGACAACGGGACCAAGTCCCACCGCAAAGTATATTAATGTTACTGAAAGGAATTCTGATGAGAAGCGAGCATATGCTCAGGAATAGTCAAATTGCGAATTTCCCGGATCAAGAATCGATGAATCGAAATTTCCAAGAAATGTGAGTTTTCAAAATGTATAATAGCTTTGATTCTATATCTTGAATTTCAGGTCAATGCTCGCTCAAGTTGTTACACGATCATTTGACCTTCTCAATTTATTGATGCATGAATCAAATGCGATAGATGGATTCGTAAAATTGGATGGTATTCAGTTGATATACACTATCATCAATTATCCGAATTCTAATGTGGTCCGTTCTGGATTCAAGTTGTTACTGCAAGTGTCGGATTCGAGGTCGTTGTGCTTAACCAATCTGAAAGAACCTCTTCCTTTTGTAAGTTGTTTTAAAATAGTTTTTTCGGCAGAAGAATGGTCCCTCATATGATTTAATAGGCAAAATTATAAGGAAAACATTTTTTGATGTTTTACCACTTTTAAGCAACATTCAAAATGAAAATTCCATTCCAGATAATGCAAAGACTCCGAGATAGTTTGATGAATGGAGAGGACGATATTGTTTATAGTGGAACAGGCTTTTTGAGCAATGTGGTTGCTCACAAACTGCCAGTTAAAGAGTTAGCTATTGCAAAAGGAGCTATCCCGTTGCTATGTGATGTTATTATGAGGAGTACACCATTGAGCGATTTTGCTGAAGCATCAAAAAAGAAACTCGCTTGCGGGATTGTCTGTAACAGTTTACGAGCCATGAACAACTTTTTGATGATTTGGATTCCGATGCAAAATGGACAGAGAATGCCAATAGGAGAGTACGAACAGCAACAAGTTCGCAGGTTTATTGAGGTTGGAAATTGGAAACTTTAACGAAATATTGTTCAATGTTTTTATTACAGGAAGTTTTAAAGAGATTGATGACATGCTTATCTATGGACTCATTCGACGTCGTCCCACTAATGGAACTCCGGAGTACGATTCTTCGATTCTTTTTCCTTGTTTCAAGAACGCCGTCGATGCCCGCAGATGTTTTTTTCGGTGTGACAGACGATTTTAAAAGGAAAAATCTCGTCGGTCATATTGCGATAGCCTTATCGTGGGCAGATGGACAAAAAACGAATGAAAAAATAAAGGACACCAGGCAGCAACTTATAGAACGTGCATTCAGTTTGTTGGTCCGATTGATAGAACAATACGATGAGGTTCAAGTGGCGCATAGTCTTTATACCATTAGCTGTCCGCTTAACATGCTAAACAACGAGCAAATGAAGCCACAGTTCATTTTGAACGTTCTTCGAGTATGCGATAAAATTCTGGAACACTCTCCTATGTTGGCTAATGGTTGGTCAATATACAGTTCTACCGTGGAAATGTTCAAAAATCATTCAAATTCTGATATTGGTGAGTTTTATTCAAAACTAAATTATTTCATTAATCATTTTCAATTTTCAGCACGGACGGCGAGCTCGTTGTTGGCAAGGTTCCCAATAGGCGATTCAGCAATGGATGAAGGAATTCTTCACACTTCTGAATTTACTGAACTTTGAATCGACACATCACCAAAAAATCATATTTTCATGACTTCCCTGTTTTCATGCCATCGATCCGTCTAGTTCATTTTCCTGCCCCACTCAGCTTAGCATGTATATAGTTTTTTCTCTTATTTTTGTTCCTTTCTGGCCTGTATCACCGGTCCTCATCCTATTTCTATCGTTTGGATATTTTGAGAATCTCTTTGCTTTAAAAATCTGATTTATCACATTTATAGCACATTTCCTACCCATTTTGCACTCGGTTTTTCTTCCTGCTATTTTTTGCATAATTTTTTCTAATTCTCATAAAAATAAAACTATCCAAACTTTAATAACACTATATCTTGATTGCTTACAATAAAACAGCGACGATATACCTAATTTTCACCAATTTCAACATTCTGATTCATAAAAATCTCGGAATTTCACATTTGAACTTCCGCCGAAAACACAGAGATGCGTCATGGTCTTACTGGCACGCTTGCCGATAACGAGAAGTGCGCCAACGGTCTCACAACGATTATTCTACTGTTCAACTGGGGACATTTTTTATATTTTCTGCTGTTCGTCCAACCCAAATTGCTATTAATCGCTTTTTGAGATTTCGTAATCAAATTAATCGAACAACTATTATCTCCACAATTTTCCATCATATTTCACTTCACTTCCTCTAAGTTCTCTTCTTTTGGGAATTGACATTGTTTTTTTTCAGAAATGTCTCGTTTCTATCGTAGAGGAGCCTCCGATTCTGACACCGATTCAAGTGAAGATGAGGTTGAAGAGCTAAAAGCTAACAAAAGCGCAAAGTTCCGGTGAGTTTCCGCCTTCCTTACTTGTTTCGGAGCTAATTTCGAATTTCTTCAGCGATGATCTCGACTTCATGGCTGGTCCTGAAGAAGATGAGAAACGTGTGGTACGCGCTCAAAAAGACAAGAAGTTTGATGAGCTCAAGAGTCTCATTAAACAAAACCGAGATGCTAAGAGCAACAAGGATCTGAACAAGCTCTTAACAGGGTTCGATACTCTTGCAAAAGCCTATGACAAGTCAAAGACGATCTTCCAACGCCAGAATGTAACAAATCCACGCTTTTACATCAGGCATGTGGCGAAACTCACTTTATGCCTATGTAGTGTTTTTTTTCAGATTTTTGGTTGAAATCGAGGACTACGTGAATAAGCTCTGGGAAGACAAAGAAGCTAAAGCAGCACTTTCAAAGAACAACACCAAAGCTCTCTCACCTCTTCGCCAGAAGCTGAAGAAGTATATCAAGGATCACGGCCTGACCGATTTGGTTAGTGATTACCGGGCTAATCCTGACGAAGATGGTTATGAAACTCCTGAAGACGAGAATGATGAGGATGACTTCGAGGAGGTCCCTGAGGCGTCGCCAGGAAGACAAGCCGAGAGAGCTGCGGACAGTGAAAGTGAAAGTGACAGTGACGATGATGATTCTTTCAATTGGTCTTCTGAACCAGATACCAACTCATCTGATGATGAAGAAAACGTCACCAAAATGGAGCAGCTTCGCCGTTACTTCTTGAAGAAAGAATTCCGAGAGGAGAGCAAGGACGACAAGAAAGATAAGAGGAAAAGAGTGATCAAGGTCAAGGAAGTTGTTGAAGAAGATGATGATGATTGGACTCCTGTGAGCCGCGAAAAGTCGGTTGTTCACTTTGATCCTAATGAAGAAGTCACCCATGATGTCATGATCAAAAAACTGAATGAAGTTATGTCAGCTCGTGGAAAAAGAACAACTGATCGCAACCAGCATGTGGCCAATCTTCAAAAACTTCTTGAAGTTGCCGAAGAAAAGCAACTTGGTCTTGGTATCAGCGTCAAGATCAGCTTCTGCATCATCTCTGCTCTCTTCGAATTGAATGCTAAGATCAGCGACTATATGGAGTACGAAACTTTCATGAATACTCTGAGAACCGTTAACACTCTTCTTGATCTTCTTATCACAACTGACCGTGTGAAGCTATCGGTAACGTATGCTGAAGAAGATGAGAATCTGAAGGTAAACATCATAACCATCAATGAAAACTCATTGAATATATTATTTTACAGGATGAAAACGAAGAATACCGTATTCAAGGAAGTATTCTCATCGCCGTTCAGAGATTGGATGGAGAGTTGGCTAAAATTCTTCAGAATGCAGACTGTCATTCAAATGACTACATTGAAAAACTGAAGGCCGAGAAAGACATGTGTCAACTGATCGAAAAAGCTGAGAATTACGTTGAACTTCGCAACCATCTTGGAATTTTCGACAAACACGAAGTCTGCAAAGTTTACATGATGAGAATCGAGCACACCTATTACAAATATCAAGACCAAAATGTTGGAGAAGTTGCCAAGACCATGGATTACTTGTGCAACAAGATCTACACTTTGGATGACGAGAAACGTTTGAGACAGCGTGCTATGCTCTGTCACGTATACTTCCTCGCCGTTCATGATAAATGGCATCGTGCCAGAGATCTTCTTCTGATGAGTCACATGCAAGCAATCGTCGATCACTCTGATGTCGACACTCAAATTCTCTACAACAGAACCATCTGTCAACTTGGTCTTTGCGCTTTCCGTCATGGATTCATTCGAGAGGCTCATCAAGGTTTATCTGAAATCCAAAATACACAGCGTGCCAAAGAACTGCTCGCTCAAGCTGTTGGAACTCGGCCACACGAAAAAACAGCCGAACAGGAGAAGATCGACCGTTCTCGACAAGTCCCATATCATATGCACATCAACGTCGAGCTTATGGAATGCGTATATTTGATCTGTTCCATGCTTCTCGAGATCCCACACATGGCCAGTTGTGAATTCGAAATGCGCCGCCGTATGCTTAGTCGCAGCTTCCACTACCAGCTGAAGCAAAGCGAGAAAGCCTCGTTGACAGGACCACCTGAGAACACCCGCGAGCATGTTGTTGCTGCATCCAAAGCAATGCTCAATGGAGACTGGAAAAAGTGCAAGGATTATATTGTGAATGAAAAAATGAACCAGAAGGTTTGGAATCTTTTCCACAATGCGGATCAAGTGAAGGATATGGTTGTAAGACGTATTCAAGAAGAGTCTCTCCGCACCTACCTTCTAACTTATTCCACTGTCTATTCGACCGTTTCTCTCAAGAAGCTTGCTTCTTTGTTCGACCTCTCCAAGAAGGACGTTCACAGCATCATCAGGTAATTTTTTCAATACTCTTCTCATCTCAAGTAATTTTTTTTCAGTAAAATGATCATACAAGAGGAGCTCTCCGCTACTCTTGATGAGCCAACCGACTGTCTCATCATGCACCGAGTCGAACCATCTCGTCTCCAGATGCTTGCTCTCAATTTGTCTGATAAGCTTCAAACCCTTGCTGAAAACAATGAACAGATTCTTGAGCCACGCACCGGCCGTGGTGGATACCAAGGTCCTGGATCTTGGTTTCCAGGCCGGAACGAGCGGCAAGGAGACAAGCAGAAGGGATCTGGTGGATTCCAAGGAGAACGACGAGGAGGACCCGGAGGACCAGACGGAAAGCGAGGAAACTGGGGATCACAAGGTGGTCAACAGCGTCGTCATCCTCAGAAGCCACGCGCTTTCTAAATTTTCATTTCTGAATCGTCTCACCCGTAAATGGAACCCCCTAATAAGCCTTTCATGGCGCCTGCAAATGACCTTTTAAAGTTGTTTGCAGGCGCCACTACTTGTTTTCTGTCTGTTGATTTGATAATTTCATTTTCTCTTTTTTCCTGCCCCATCCCTATAAAAGCACTTTTTTATAAACACCTTCATTCCGAAGGTTCCTAAATTTGTTTCCGGTTTTTAGTGTTTGAGTTAATTTTTTCTAAAACTATTTCGTTTCCTAATTTCTTAATTATTTTTGTTGGGCCTCTTTTTTCTAATGAAATATTCTATCCGATCAATTTATTTTTTATCTATCATTCGGTGTCAATCCAATCCTTTATTTCTTATGAACTAACACAAATCAGTTGCATATCTTAATTTTCAGAAGGTTACTGGAAAATTTGTTCGGCAAGCGATATAAAATGGGTAAGAAGAAGGCATTCATCGATAAGAAAGCCAGTCAAAGATTTCGGTTGGTGCCGGATAACAGAGAAAAGAGTGAACGTTTCAAACCAACGCAGGAGCATTTGGAAGAACAACAGAAGTATGGAGTCTACTATGACGACGATTATGATTACTTGCAGCACATGAGGGCTATCAATGAGGTTATTGATTGTCCAGCCAGTTCTAATACATATATAAAGTTTTCAGCCAATGAAGCTTGAAAATGTTCATGAAGAAGTGGAGAAAACAACGATCAAATCATCATCATGCCCATCTGGCTTCCCTCCGGCTCCTCCACTTTTTGGACTTACGGGAGTCATGAAAAAACCAGAATTTTTCGACGAAGATGTTGCCAATGCTTTAGAAGATGGAACCGATGATAGAAGCGGAGGAGAACTCGAGGATAATTTCATCTCACTAGCTGGAGGAGTTCTAGACGAGCGAACCATGCTGTTCCGTGATGTGAGACGAGATGTCGACTCGGATGAAGAAGAGGAAGAAGAAGAGGATGGTGATGGTCAGATGTACGACGATTATAATGACGAGGAGTTGTTCGGTGAGGAAGCGGTCGGAGAAATCAAACCAACTAGAGCTGAGCAAAGAGTTATCGATGACGCCTTCGAAGAGCTCATGGATAGAGAATACAACACTGAACAGGTATATCAATTCACAAGCTATTCTAGAGAAAATGTTCATTTTTTATTAGATTGGAGAGCTTGATGGAGACGACTATGAGGTAGGAGGAGCACTCGAGCCAAACGCGGGACGTCTTCACAAACTCGTCAATGACAAAGGACCTTCGAATGCTGAGTATGATGAAGAGGTACTATATCTATTCATAAAGATTCAGTTTTCTAGTGAAACATAATTGAAAGTGTTCTCATTTTGCAGCTCGCCAAACACTATGTTCGTGAACGGTTGCGCCTCATTGAGGAAGGAGTCATCAAAGACAAAGAAGAGTACGAAATTGTGGAAGTGGATGAGGGAACTAATAAGAAGATGAAGTGGGATTGCGAGTCATTTGCAACACAATACACAAATATCTACAACCATCCAACATTGATTAAAGAACAGCGTGGATTGTCTAGAAAAGCTTTGAAGCGTTTCGATAAAGCCGTGGAGGAAATGGAGATTGCGGAAGAGAATGAAGACGAGGAAGAGGATGAGGATATGGAGGATGACGACGATGCAGATGATAAAGAGAGCGTCTTCTCAACCGTTTCAACATTCCGACCAAAAGGGGAAACTCCGGAACAGAGAAACTTGAGAAAAAAGGCAGTGAAGGAGGCTAGGAAACAGAGACGAATTGAGAAGAAGGCTAATAAAACGATGTTTGCTGAGGAGAAGAGAAAGGTGAGAACAATATTATTTTGATATAATTAGAATATGTCCTCATTTTGATTTCTTCCAGCTCGCCAAAGGACGTATCGGCCAGATCAAAGCTCGCCCAGTCTAGTCAATTCCATTCTCTTCGCCCTATAATAAATACCTGTTTCTTGTTGTTCTTGTTGACCCAAAAAGTATCCTTGTTTTTTTCTTTAAAAGTGTTTCTGCTTGTTTCCATTTCGCTCTTTTCTCTGCTTCCCCATATTTCTTGTGTTGTCTTGAATTTTTTTGTGATGAATTTGAGCAGCAACTTCGTCCCGATTTTATCGCCGCGTGCGCCCTCCAGAGGGGGGTCCATCCACATTACCAAAGCTCTTCACTCTCTTCTCCCTATCTTCAGAATATTCCTTATATTCCCTAAAGCTCGCTTCGGCGACGACTTAAGAGAGACATGAAGAAGCGCCACGACGCTGCGAAAGGGAGAAGAATCAACTGCTCTTCGCTCACGAAATGGGCGGAGTTCGGAGCATCCGCCCCTTCCCGTCGCCGACTCAATTGTGTTGTCGCCTCTTCTTGTGCTTCTTTCTCCTCATTCGTTGTTTCCTTTCCCACCATCTGACGTCTTCTTCTATTTCTCCGTCGTCCCGCCAAAAGTTCCGATTTCTTCGATGACATCGTGATAAGAAAGTCATGGTCGAAGGAGGCGTCACCATCGTCAAATATCTATTGTTTCTAGCGAATTTAGTATTATGGGTACGGTAGTTTTTGAAATGAGGAAAACTGACTTCTAAATTCAGGTTGGCGGACTGTCACTTATCATTGTCGGATCGATTTTACAGCTAAAGTTTGATAATGTGTTAGATATATTAGGTGATGAAAGGTGAGCAATTTTATAATTTAGAACTTCTTTGTTTCAATCAAAGTTAGGAATTCAAATTACTAATATAGAAGAAACATCGATTCAGGTTAGCCACACCGATCATACTTCTGGTGATTGGATCTCTTTGCACACTTCTCGGCTTTCTTGGATGTTGTGGAGCGATTCGAGAGAACTACTGCCTTACTGTATCGTTTGCAGTTCTTCTCGCGCTTCTTATTGTGAGTTTGATCCGATTTATTGTCTTTAGCCAATCAATTTCCTTCTTTGATTATTCAAATGTGGTTTCCTTTGGTCCCAACTAACTATAAGATCGTGTATTGTTGAATGTCGGATCTCAATCAAAACGAACTCTAGTGAGATTAGTTTAAATCGAGCATTTTGAAGCACAATACAGTCTATACAATAACATCTGGGCAAGGGGCGACAGTACTACATCAGACAATTACCGTATTTCCTCTAATAAAAGCCATTTAGCTCAAAGCTTGCGGTTTTGGTAGCCTTATATTAGAGGTAAACTGTATAAACATCTGTTTCGATTTTAGACCTGTGAAATTGCTGCTGTTATTATTGGATATGCACTGCACGACAGTTTCCGACTGGGTATTTCCAATCAACTTCAGGTAAGAGTTCTATTTAATTATTTCATTTTTGGAGTCCAATTTCAGACGGGCATGGTACGATATCACGAGAGTCGAGGTGTCGAAAGTGCCTGGGATAAAACACATCAGGTGAGTCGTAAATATTTTGATATCTTTTTGTTCCGTTTAATTGAGCTCCATTCATTCGACGTTTTAGAGAATTTAGTTCTTTTCCTCTTATCTTTAAAGTTGATTCGATCCTATAATTCAGAAAAGTATTCTATTTTTCCTAAGACTATCATTCTTAAGCATTGCAAAAAAGTCGAAGCTTGGCCGAAGGTCCCACAACAACAACTACCGTAACCTAAAATATGTTTATTTTGAACTTTATTTCAATGGTTTTCGCTGCTTTTAGTCGAGTTGTTTCTCCTCGAAAAGTTTTTAAAAAATTCTGGTTACGGTAGTTGTCGGTGTGAAATCTTCGGCCACGGCTCCGGTTTTGTTTGTACCGAAATAATATTTTCACTTGGGTCCAAAACAGTGGGTCAAAAATCGCGCCCAGATAACTTTTAGACCAGAAGAAATCTGAAAATTTCAAATGTTGCCTTGGAACCAAGTGTATTTTCATTTTGTATTACTTTGTTCTGAAGTTGCTTGAGAATCAGGTCAAATGTTCGCGCAATTCATTTCAACTCAAGTTTTCTGTGCAAATTGAAAATTTTTGAGTATTTTGAAAATTCCCATTTTCATCCAATAAACTTTTTCAGTTATTTGAATGCTGTGGAGTGACGAATTCATCAGATTGGCTCACTTTCACATCAATTCCCGACTCGTGTTGCGTCGAAGAAATGGAGGGATGCGTACGGGAGAATGCTCCACTGTTCGAAGCCGGATGCATTCACAGTGTTGAACGTTAGTCGTTTTTTTTTTTGAAAGAAGAAGAGATCAAAGTGTGCTCTGTTGCACTTTGTCAATAGGGCATGATTAGGTGGGAATTCAAAATTGAATTCTTCGAATTTCAGAATGGACACTCAAAAATGGAGCGATGGTTGGTGGGATCTGCGCAGTGTTGGCCGCCATTCAACTGGTTGGAGTCTGTTTCGCTTGTTGTCTTTCAAAATCAATTCTCAAGGATTTTCATGATTTTTATTACTAGCTATTTCAATTCATTTCTCTGCCTAGTTCTTCCCTTTCCTGCATACAACAAATAATAATAATAATTCATAATTTATTTTTTTACAATGAAAATGGAAATACAGACTTTGAATATAAGTAAAATTCGGTAATTGAATCATATTCAAAGTTCAGAAAAAAAGGACTGGGATGAAAATTGGGTTTACCCTGGTTGGAGAGCTCAAAGTGGAAAAGTGTGTGTACCTTGTGCTGGAGCTTTTGACAACAGAACAGAACGTGAGTAAAAAAGAGATACATAAAAATGGCAGCGACGAGATGAATAATAAGAACTGATCTACAGTAACCTGGACTTGAAATGCCAGTAACTTTTCCTTCTCTTTGCTTCTCGGGGAACATTTTCGTTTCGCTACTACTACACAAAAATATCATTTTTCCCAATCTCTTCGTTTTCCAAGAGTCTCTTCTTATTTTTCGTTTTGTGTTATATGGTGAGCGCATCTTTTTTGGAGCTGTGCTTTTCAGAAATGTGCTCGCGTCGCAACTCAAATCAGGAAGCGGGCCGAGAGAACATGGTAGACGATGAGAGATAAGACACGAAGATGGATCATGCTCTGGGGAATGATTCGGTGGTAGAAAGGGGACGACGATGGGCACCGAGGAGCAAAAGATGGGGGGAGACAGAAAAGTCACAAAGACTGGAGTGTGAGGAGGAGAAGCGGGTGAAGTTTTTTTTTGGGTTGGGAGAAAGAAAAGAGGGAGTCAAAGATAGTATTACAAGATAAAATGTAGTTTTTCTTTTTATCACCGCAAATTGACCTGATCTGGATGATTCGGAACCGGAGGGGACCTTGATGACAGAGCTAGATAAGCTTTGTGATAGCTGGATAGTGTTTTCGAGGAAACGACCCAGATTGCACAAGTAATTCCAACAACCAATTGGGATACGTATCTAGAATACAATACATATTGGATGTCAATTTTACTGAAACTCACTTCAAAAGGAAAATAATAATTTCTGGTGCTGCAACTTTCGGATCTCCTGGACACTCATCAATGGTAAATGTGAATCCAAAGTCTTCTCGATCTTGAAGTCTAACGCATCGATGATGAAGCCATCCTTCTAGCCAAGCTGGCATGTGCACTGCCTGATACCACATAATAGAAGCATTCATGGCAGTTGGAAGAGAATACATGATAGCAAAAGCCCCGATTCTAAAAACTGGGTTTTGATTTTCTGTTCCTCAACTTCGAGATATTTACCTCAACATCAACTTTTCCAACTTGCTGATATTTCTTTCGACGTCTGCGCGCTGCAGTTTTATATAACTTCGAATTCGAATCATCGACCAAATTCCACAGATTAGTAGGACTGCTCCGAGTGCTGCAAATAGAACGTTTTTTCGGAGAAAAACCCAATTCCCCCAATTCGATTTGTTCCCCCCTATGCATCAGTAGTATTTTTTCCACATGAACCTACCCAACGAAACAACAATCGGGGTGAAGAAGAAGTAAACGAGAGCTGAGGGATTGAGATTTCCAACAGAACAGATTCCAGTAAAAACATCTCCATCGACAGAGTTTGTGACGAGAACAGTGACCGACAAGACTGCAGGAATTCCCCAGCACATGGCATGGAAATATGGAGATAGTGCTGCAATCGATTCTGCGCCCCATTTCAAATTTGCAGCCAAGAACCAGGCAAGGCAGAGAACCAGCCACCTGAAATAACAAAAATAATGGAATATGAATTTTATAAAAGGGTTACCATGCACAACTGGCCATGAAAAAGAAGTAGTGGACTACGGCCAGAGCACTGCATCCAACGTTTTCTCCTCCTTGGGTAACTAGGATTTTCGGTGTTGATCCATAAGTTCCACAGGCAAATCCGTCTTCACCAACGACACCTAAAATTTCCCATTATAACAAATAATTGCCGTACTCCACTCACCAATCATGTAAACTAGCGAAATCGCGAGATAACAAAAAGCCAAATAAAGAATTGGTCGAACTGGATAGGCGAATCGAGACAAATCCACGAGGAAGGTGACAAGTGTGAAAAGTGAGCAGACGAAACAGGCAACAGACCAGGCTGCAGTCCAAATTCGAAGAATACGTCTCACGCGTCCGTCGAACATCATCGGTACCTGATTATCCGCTTCACACGTCAACGAACAATCAGGAAGACGTCCACTCAAAAGAGGGAGTGAAAAGTGAGAACCACTGGTGGTATGCATGACATGTGGGCATATTTTTGGAGATAGAACCACTTCATTAGCAATTGTGGAGACACCGAATGTGACGTCACTGCTGCTCCTGTAATTTGGACTATAAATCCTATAGATTTCATTGAAAAAAGAAACACTTACTTCTTAGAACTACTCGATTCACTAGAATTCTTTCCAACACACAAATCACTAACAGGAAATTTGTTACAGTCTAGCTGATCGGGCCATTGGAAACCAAACTTTTTCATCAGTGACTCGCAACCGTTCTTCGCTGATAAGCACAATTCCCGACATGGCTGAATGGGTTTCTCTAGAACTGTACAGACTGGAGCGTATACGGTACACAGGAACAGACGAATATCTTCAGAACATTTCACTTTGATTAGTGGATTGAACTGTGAAATGGCAGGATTGGCTTCGGACTGAGTTGTATGTCCGAGGAGATTGGGAAAAACTGTTTGGTTATAATCAAGGTTCTTGCACATCGGGATTGAGATTAGCTCGCATTTTCGTGGGCTCGACAATCCGCTCATCGATGAAATCGATGTGGACGATAGTCTTTGATCAGATGAAGAACATCCAAGAAAAATTGTGAAAAATATAAACAGAGGTCGATACATTGTGATTTAATTGGGTTCGATGGTTAGTTCATAGCACAGGTTGTGATTTATCTGAAACATGCGAGAATTTTTGAAGAAAGAAAAAATCAGAAGTAGAAAGTAAAAATTCAAATCAGGGATCTTCGGACTGTCGAAAACTCCGATTCTCAAAATTTCGGGTTTTTAAAAGTAGAATCAGAGAAGCGCGACAAATTGGTGAACGATTGACAAACAGATTTTCAGAACGCTAGAAAATTATGGAAAATAATTTCGAGACCCGCAAGCAAACGTTTTGTGTGCGCCTTTGACATACTGTATTCTAAAATTGTTTGATTCCGAAATTTCCGAATTCCATTCCAAACATCCATAATTCAAATGACGGAGTGATGAAAACCATTCAAAAAACAAACTGAGGGAACATAGTGAATGTTGAGAATAGCTACGGTTTAATGATTCATGAAATCATAGTGGGAAAACCTTGAATTAAGAGGACAAGTAGGATTATCGAACGGAAGAATGAACACTATAGGCTTACTGTACACCGTGTCTTTAATCTCTTTTCTGCCGTTGCGTAATTCTCAAAGCTCTCGGGATAATAATTACGACATCGTTGGATTGTAATTACTAAAGATTGGTCTAATGAAAAGATCAACACAGAAAACGAAACAGAGTTCAAACTGGAAGGGCCACCTGCTGTCCTACTAAGTGTCAAATGGGGGAGGAACACGCAATAGAACAGAAAAGAGAAAGAGACAAGATAGAGAAGAAGCTTGCCTATTTTTCAAATCATGATTATTTTCAAAACATTCTCGGTATTCCTTCTGAAAAGAAGAGGAAACAGAGGGGACAGATTAGAATCATGAAGAAAATACGATCGATTTGTAGAACCGATAAGAGCCATGACCTAACAAGTTGAAATGTAGCAACGGGGAACAATCGAAAGAGAGGCATTACAAAAATAAGAACTCTGGAAACTGAGCGTTCTGTTTGAAATAGGACAAAAAAGGCATTTTATACCAAACATTCCACTATATTCTGAATAAGCTTTTGTTCTTTTTGGAGCAAGTTTCGCAACATATTGAAGATCTGTGTGTCTTCCTCTCTGCCTCATGCCAGAGATGGGTGTCAAATTCAGTTCCGGAATCAAATCAAATGGACCACTATAGGCGCTCGTTTCGATGAAAAAGTACTGATGAAGTGAGCGCAACTGGGAGCTTGTGATCATGAGAGAATGAAGAAACGTGTGATTTGTGATTGATAAAGGAAATGAAGAATGGGCGAAGAGGGAGAGAGAGTGTGTGCAGGAAGAAGAGATTCAGGAAAGTGGTGATAATGCGATTGGAAGATGGAGATGTTCCGAGGTGGGAGCAGAAATGATTGGTCGTTAATAGCGAACACGAATGGAGAACGACTCAGCTTGTCTTTTTTTAGGTCATATCTCCTAAAAATGCCCAACAATAAAAATAACTAAACTAGGGGTACTAAATTTATGGCCAGAAGTAAATGACGTAAATGACATTCCAGTGCAGAAAAATGTGATGATTTGATGGCGATGAGAGACAATGATGAACCCAGATGGTCCGCACCTGTTTGTTGACCGAAAAACTGAAGAAAGGTCGAAATTGATGATGGGCGGTCAAATGGAAAATATGATTATGGATGGTGGTTTATGTATGAAATTTTCGAAAGATGAGACACTTTTTCAACGTCATGTGGTTTGCAATCCATGTGAATATCTCTTATTTTTTTTTTTGAAACGAAGAAACATGAAGGTGAAGCTAGGAAAAAATTGAAATCAGTATTCGAATTAGATAAATCAACAGCCTGACATTTTGATAATAGACTTTTATCAGCAATATATTGGTGAATGCTCTTAATACTGTAGGCGCCAAACCAGCTTCTATAATCGTATAAAGCCAACAAAATTAGGATATCATTTTGGATGAGCCAGGTCCATAAATCAATTAAGCGAAGACACAAATCACCTCATAAATTACCTAGTGAGTGCCATAAAACACATAATAAAACACCCGCGAAAAGCAATAACGTATCTGTCTGCCTCTTTCCGTCGGGAGTTTTGTTGGAGTCTCTGAGGGTGAGGCGGCGCCATAAATCAAGGCGAATGGGGTGTTTGCAACACGAAGAAAAGAGGAAAGATGGGCGGGACGGAACGACGAAGAACAAAAAGTAATCAATGAGGCAAGAAGAAATACGGAGGGAGGGACTGGGAGGAAGAAGGGGAGCGAGGTGTTAGATGGATCGGTTTGTGTTGTTTCGAGGAGGACTGCCCGAATGATGGAGTGCTCCGATGTCTCTTGAGCCCTTCCTCAGAGTATGTGTGTGAGGCCCTAATTCGGAGACGATAGATGGATGAGGAAGGAAGAAAAGACACTTTTCTATCTATTTATTCATGAACAATGGCGAATTAGCACTTTCCGAATAAGGATGGGGTGATGGAAGATGTGGCTCTTGTTTCATTCCTAGAACAAATTGAATTTTAATTGACCATCATCGTGCTTTATCGGATGGGAAGATTCCATCAATCAAAACGATGTAGATTTTACAATCGCTATTATTTTCCTTTCTCTTTTTCTATAATCCTTCAAAACTCGCAGTGACAAGTTTTTGAGCTCCTCTACACCGAATATTTGTGAAGTGCCATGTCCAAAACTATATCCTGACACGTCCCAAAGGAATTTCTTATCCGAAAATTTACAAAAAATGGAAACAAGAGAAAAAAGAAAAAAGGAAAATGGGTTGACCTCGAGACTCTCGAAAATTAAACGCTCCCGCCGCTACGCAACCTGTCGTCGGCTCAGGTGTTTACGGATCTCAAAAAATTATTTTTATTTGAATAAAAAAAATTAAATTATCTTTAAAAAAACGTTAGAAACCGAGTTCTCAGTAAAGAATCAATCAAATATTCTATATAATTGAATTCTTAAGAACAATTATAACCTTAGAATTATAAATTGCAGATGACAAAACCAAAAACTTCACGAATATGTCTTCCATTTCCTCCAGTTTCGAGAAAAAGTAAGCACTCTCCATTTTTTTTCGAAAATATCGAACGACTTACAGCTGACTTCTTACTGGGCGGATTATTCTCATCCATTCATGTATTGCTGACTACTATGGTCTACCATTATATTCCGGATCCGTATATGGATGAAATTTTTCACATCTGTAGGAGAATCATTTAAAAAAGTATACATCGTCTGAATAATAGAATTTCCAGCTCAAACAAGATCCTACTGCTCCGGTAACTACACTTGGAATCCGTTGATTACAACACCTCCAGCTCTATATGTTATATCAATGCCATTTTGTGGAGGTTATGAAAGATATGTGAATTCTATCCTTCTCTTTTTTGCTATTCCTGCTTTTTGCCGGTTTCGAAGAATGTTTGTAAGAGTAAGTGTTAACCCTAGAACATTTTAAACTTTTTGATTTTACGTTTTTAGACAGATGTGTTTCTAACAGCTTCAATCGTTGGATTGCTTCCAATTCTGATGACTTCGTCAGTTCTCTTCTATACCGACCTTCTATCGTTGACTTCTGTAATTTTGGGATTCTCGATGCAGTGAGAGAAAAGAATATAATTGTTTTATTCTCAAGATGTTGATTTCAGAAATCCACTGACTTCTGCTGCATTCTTTCTTGTTTCCATTCTCACCCGACAGACAAATATTGTATGGGCAGCGATATATGCATTCTCAGTGCTCGCTTCCCAAACCAATACCAATCAATCGAGAACTGAAAATATGAAAAATATCGTCTTCTCTGTGTTTTCACTATGGCCGTTTGCTGGACTCGCTATCGGATTTCTTGGATTCTTATATCTCAATAATTTTCAAATCGTTTTGGGAGATGCAAAGGCTCATGAACCAAAGTTCCATGCTGCTCAGTTTTTCTACATGGTGGCGTTTTGTGCAGCCCATGCTTGGACTCAAATTCTACCGAATCTACCTTCCCATTTGAGACATTTGACAGATTTAAAAGCTCTCGTACTTCAAGCAGCAATTGCAGGAATAGTATACAAATTCTCCTATGATCATCCGTATCTTCTAGCCGACAATCGCCATTTCACATTCTACATTTGGCAGCGATTCCTGTCAAATCCTGCGATTCGAACATCGATTGCTCCACTGTATATGTTCTCGGCAAGATTCATGGCAACTTCTACACGGAACATTCATTTTTTTCACAAGTTTTTGTTCGTGTTCGCAACTGCAGCAGTTTTAATTCCTGCTCATTTGTTCGAAATGCGTTACTATATTGTGCCGTACGTCATCTGGAGGCTCTCAGCGACCAACAACCGGAATAAAATACTATTGTTTTTAGAAATTACATCCCAGATAACTATTCTCTTCATTGTTCTTTTCTTGTTCTTGTTCAAAACTTTTGAGTGGCCAAATGAGCCTGGAATTAAACAAAGATTCATGTTCTAAGCGAGATTTTGTAGATATTTTTTTATTGGGTCGAATTTTTTCTCTTTTTTTTTGAAAATTACGGGATTTCCTTTGCAATAAACTTTTCTTGAAGCTTTGATCAAAAAAATCTACGATGTTAAATAAAAACAAGGAAGAAACAATTTTGATGAAATCCAGTTCTACAGTATTTGTTAAAGGCGCATGTCAGAGATGTTTCTATCGCGCCAAAGCCTATATCGTACTCTTGCGCAAAAACGGTTTCTGGCGGCAAAATTTTGAAGTCTTTTCCGAGTGCATTTAAATACAAGACGTCCTGAAAAATCGGTTTGTATGCTCTCTCTGTCTCTCTCGTCTTATTGCTTTTCCGACCACAGAAGTCTCAATCTTCTATATTTTTACTTTCGTTTCAAAGCCAACACTCGCTAATTCCGTGAAAGACGCTGCCGCAGATATTCAACTTTCCAATTTCAGCTACTCGATCTACTCAAAATATGACTCGTCCGGTACAAAGACAACGCTCAAGACGATCTGCCATTGTTTCTTTGGAAGAAATCAATGTTCAGGAACAGCTGTAAGTGATTAATAATTCAAGGAAAAATCATCGACGTTTGGGTTTACAGCGCGGAAATGCTTCGCTACGAACAGGAAATGAGGGATCGTGCGTTTGCGTTCAACTTGCAAAGAGAGGAGGGAAACCAGCAAAATGCTCCGGATGTGGTTCCAACCCCACCCCCGATTCCAGCGGTTGCGTCACCAGCTCCAGCTGCAAGACCTGTCCAACAGGTGTCTCCGTCGAATTCGAGAAGATCAGGAAGAATCTCCCCATCCGGTAGACAATCAGCTGGGAGATCGGCAAATGCTAATGATTCGGGAATCCGAGATGCTCCAGGACCGATCCGAAATTCTCAAAGAACTCGGACATTAGTAAGGCAAGTGCAACAGACAGGAACTCCAAATAGGCGTGCGATCCCTGCTAGGTAAAAAATCTTAGTAGCAACAATAATACATCGTTTTAACAATTCAGAATCGTGGATATCAGCAGCAGTAGTGATGATTCAGATGGAGACGTTCTCCTCGTCGACTCAGGGGACTCCAGTATTTCTTCGGTCTCTAGTGGTTCTTCTAACTCTTCTAACTCATCTGGCAGCAGCTCTAGTTCTGACGATTCATCTCGTATCCGAGTTCAGAACTCCACTTCTCCAAACGGTTCTTCTTCCGAATCTAGTAGTAGATCTGATGACGAACCTACATCTAGAGCTCGAATTCAAGCCACAATTACTTTGAACGGCCTTCCTCGTACCCCATCTGTCATGCATGCTGCAAGACCGAATAGTGATTCTGGTGTTGGAGTTCTCATATCAGGTGACAGCAGTAATCAGCCTTCTACTTCTCGTGGGCCCACCACGCCTGTCCGCACTGGTGTGCTTGATCCAACATGGGGTGATTGCACGATGTGTTTCGAAGTCCCAATTAAACCCCAAGGATGCAATCGCTGTCGTCAAATTATTGGATGTGCTACGTAAGAGCATTGTCTACAGATTTTTTAACTATATTTATTAGTTTCAGATGCGTTATTAGTTGGTTCAAAGCTGCTCATAGGGAAGCTGCATGTCCATTGTGTCGCAACAAATGGGCTCGAAAGCCGGACGTGTCTCTTATGACCACGATTGAAAGACGCCGACGAGGAGCTCGTGCATGAATTAAGATGCTTATGTTTCTACTCACACACTTGTAGTAATATCCAGACAATCTGGCTGTAAAATAGTCTTCAATTTTTTCTGCTCCCATACTTCACCATGACTCATTTGTATCCAATGATTACTTGCCTTTATTCTATACAAACCTCTCCTGTGTGAGTGATTGATATGAATATTCTGACTTAATTCACCAACGTTTCCTTTTTTCTGGTTTTTTTACCACATCATATTTTAAAAATTCCGAAAAGTGATACAGTTCTGATCCAGTAATTCGGTATTGTGTAAATACGTTTTGAAAAAGGTTCGGTTCTAAGACTGTTGATAAGAAAAGAGTTGAATTTTCGAAAAATAGATTTTCCAATTAAAGGCACTCATAATGAGGCGCTTCCGAAAACACTGGACTCACACAAAAAAGAGTTGGCTATTTTTTTCCACTGAAAGTATACTTTATAAGTCTGCAAAAACTGAGTTTCGTATACATAATTTTCGTTGTCTCAATCGCTTTTATCCAGTTTATATTCACAGTTTTTCATATTTTACACTAGGGAAAGCATTTTTGGAGTTTGACCGTTTGAATCAATGAGAAAAAAACTCCGGAGAAAAGTGGGCGGAGTCGGGGGCGGAGCCTAAATTGCAACCCTGGCACGGTTTTGCCGCATGGTTTTTTAGCACATTTGGATGCGGTCATGAGAAAAACCATGCGGCAAAACCGTGCCAGGGTTGCAATTTAGGCTCCGCCCCCGACTCCGCCCACCTTTCTCCGGAGTTTTTTTTCCCCGGAGTTTTTTTCCCCGGAATTTCCGGGGTCTCGAATCAATAGTCGGCATCGTGCATCTGCGCTCCATTCTTTTTTGCGAGGCAAAAAGAGACCTGGTGTCTCAATATATTTTCCCGCATTTTTGGCTTCTTCTCATACTTGAATAAATTCAAATTCAGCTTACCGTAAAACCTCTAATAGAACGACACCCGGATCGTCCACTTTGAGCCTATATATCTCGATTTCTGTGAAAGATATCAAAAAGTGGCTAACTAGTAAAATGTTGCTGATATCCTGATAAACATTTTACTAGTTAACCACTTTTTGATATCTTTCAAAAGAAGTGAGATATATAGGCTCAAAGTGGACGATCCGGGTGTCGTTCTATTAGAGGTTTTACGGTATATAGAACTATTTTTACTTGCAGGTCATTGAACCACAACTAACCATCATTCACCGATGGCGTCGACGTCAATTGCTGCGATGTCGACAGAGGAAGTCGATGAGCAACGGTAAGTTCGTTTCTCAACCAAAAATTTCGAAATCATTGAATCAATACAGACGTCAGCTGGATCGTATCGAACAAGAACGGACAGATCGCGAGTTGGCCCAGAGGCTTTATCAGGAACAATTCGAAACACCTCCTGGTTCACCGCAAAATCAACCATCGACCAGCCATTATCGCCTTCCTACACCACCAATACCTTCAAATTCTAGAAGAAGACAAGTTGGATCAAACCAACAGCCACGAGCAATGAATCCGTCACGGAGGACTCCGACGTCATCGGCTGATCGTCCGGCCAGAAGAACAACGTCAAGAGGAGGAAGAGCATCAAGGGGAGAGCGTGGTGGTGCACGAAGAGGATCTACTTCTGCAGCTACAACTTCAACCAGAAGAGGGACCACTACTCGACAACGCGGAACATCAAATCGAGGAGCTGCAACTCCGGCTAGAGGACGCCGTGGAAGACCGAGAACGGCCACTGCGAACAGTAAGTGTTTCTTACAGTTTTACAAAATGTATTCTAAGAATTGCTCAGTTTCAGGACCACAATTGCGGTTTAATGGAGATCAACTTGAGTTGCAGAATGGGGGTCAACTGATAAACGTCACGTGAGTTGAATACTCAAAGAAAGAGAAATAGTGAGCTTTCTTCAGTGGTCAAGCATGGATGCCAGATTCTGATGAAGACAGTGATTTCGAAATCGGTGATGACGTCGATGATGAAATCGAGGATGAGGTCGATGATAGAATGGATGGGGTCGAGGAGGAAGAAGATAGTGATATTGAGATCATAGGAACAATAGAACCAGAGGATCGAAGAAGAAGAAGAAATCAGCCAGCGAGTTCTGCAACCGCTCGAAGAAGAGCAAATCAACCCACAAGTTCTGCTACGGCGCGAAGAAGACAAAATCAGCCTTCCACGTCTTCTGCGGTTCGGAGAGTAGTAAATCAGCCTGCTGCAGCTCGAAGAAGAGTGAATCAGCCCGCGATTTCTGCCGACTACATTCGCAGTTTATTGAATCCGAACCTCATGAGAGATGACCCACGAACAGATCCTCTTTACCGTGCCGGAAGAGTAGTTCCACCAAATGACGATGAAGAGGAAAGGGATTGGAGTGATCTCGAAGACGTCATGGGAGATTTGGACGATGAAGACGGCTTGAGCTTAAGTGACGACGACGACGACGACGACCTGGTGGTGGATGGTCCTATCCGAGTCGCACGAAACAACATTGCTCAGCCTATATTCCAAGAAGATGCCGGATTTTACAACCGAGAACTCGACCTTTGGCATAATGACGACGAATTTCGAGTGCCACCAGCAAACATTCCGAAGCAGAAAAACGGAAAACCCGTTGAACCGTAAGTGATTCGATATTCTTGTTAGTATTTTTTATTTTCATTTTCAGTGATCCAACATGGGGTGATTGCACATTGTGTTCGAATCCACCAATCAAACCTCAAGGATGTAGAAAATGCCTACAATTTCTGGGATGTGCCCAGTGAGTTATTCATTCGTTCTTTCGAAATGTTTCACAAATTTTCGATTTAAATCACTAAAAAATCAGTAGAAATGTCATGTGACTTCATTAGTTGTAGTGGGCTCCAGTGTTTATTTTATACACCGTAAAGTTTGTATTATAAGGTCTCTCTTTAAAATGATGTTTTTGGAAATTAAAAGTTTCCGACGTTTTCAGTCCAAGAAATTCCAGAAATTACACTAATTAACCGAAATTTGTTGAAAAACTCATATTGCACGGTCTCCCACAGAACATTTCCGAACTGCAAATTAATTTTTGATCTACAGAAAAAAAATTTGGCGCGATCACAATTGCGGGTCTAAAACCATAATTTCAGAATTTTTATCTGAATTTGTGGAGATTGAAGATGATTCAACTAATTATTTAAAAATTAATTACTGGTTATAGAATCCTGTATGGTCCTTTTCCGGAAGAAAATATTTCAAAAATGGTCATTTTTGAAAGTTTTTTGCAGAAAAAATGTATATCCTCTTTCAGTTTTTGGCATTTCTAGGAGTTCTATAGCTCAAAAAAACCGCAATTATTTATTCTTCATTTTGTATGGATGAATTTTTGATGCGTCTGACAAAACTTTTTTTATAATCAAAAAACCTCACGAAATTGCACAAAATCGCATTTTTTCGTTGTTTTTGGATATAAAAAAGTTTTATCAGACGAATCAAAAATTCATCCATACAAAATGAAGAATAAATGATTGCGGTTCTTTTGAGCTATAGAACTCTTGAAAATTCCAAAAACTGAAAGAGGAGATACATTTTTTCGGTTAAAAACTTTCAAAAATGACCATTTTCGAAATTTTTTCCTCCGGAAAAGGACCATACAGGATTCTATAACCACTAATTAATTTTTAAAAAATTATTTGAATCATCTTCAATCTCCACAAATTCAGATAAAAATTCTGAAATTATGGTTTTAGACCTGCAATTGTGATCGCGCCAAACTGTTTTATTGTAGATCAAAAATTAATTTGCAGTTCGGAAATGTTCTGTGGGAAACCGTGTATTGTTCACTTAATTTTGGTGAAATTGAGAGAGTTCTATATAAATTTTCAACGGAAACTCGCCGAATTTTTTCGAAGAAAAATCCACCGGGGAAACAAAATGCCGACTCTGCTGACATAGTTTTTATGATAGTTTGTTTTTCGAGAGGAATTCCGAACGAAATAATGGATTTTTTTCCATCTGACGCCTTCATCCTTAATCTTGTCTTTACAGCTGTGTACGTCGCTGGCATGGTGCTCGGGCTAGTAGTTACGAAAGACCAAATTGTCCATTATGTCGTGCTGAATGGAGCTGTCATGCATCTGGCACTTCAATGATGGCAACTATCGAAAAGAATCGTCTGAAAAAGAAGGAAAAGGAGAAGAAGAAGGCTGCATCGACTTCTACCGCCGGTACTTCTACGTCTTCTGTGTAATGAAATTTATATTACTGTTGTCTATTTTCAATGCACGTTGCGGCCGAAAATTTACTCAAAATCGCATCGTCGGTCGAACAGCGAAAACAACAAATTGATGCATGCGCCTTTAAAACCGTACCTCGGATGATTTTTTATTTTTGGGCCCTATTTGGCTGTTTTTCTATTTTATAAGGGAAATAAAGTAAAGATTTATAAGAATTAGACAAAATTAGACAGAAACAAGCGAAAAAAAAGAGAAAAGGGCAAAAATTCGATAAATTGAGGTACTGTTTAAAGGCGTGTGCAATAATTTGAGAAATACAGTAGTGTTCTCTCTGTGGGAGCTAAGCTCCGCCCACCGCTGTTTTCTCGGCCGCAACGTGCATTGATTTCGGACAAGAGTAATATCTGCAACCCCACTGCCGAATTATCGATCTTTCTATCCGTGTTATGTAGCTGATTCTCTAGTTTTGTAGATAAGAGGCCCTGTCCTTGGAAGCTTACTATGCGCTATACTCAATTTTCGTTTTCTCTCGTCATTTACGGTATATAAATGAAGTATGTCAAATCAAGCAAAACAGTTTATTATTTCTGGGGAAGAACAATACCCTTTGCTTGTAATCGACAGAAACGGCGAGAAAAATGGCAACATTTGGAAATTGAAGAAGGAATAAGTGAAATGGGTAAAGCTAGCAACAATCGAAAAGATTCAATGAAAAAAACTAGGGAACTTGGATTTAAAGCAGGAAACTCATTGATGTTAGGGGTTTTAAGTGAAAAGTAAATATATTTGAACGGTGAAAGGCTGAGCTTTATGGGCAGGAATTACTCGTTTCAATCTGGGGGAATTGAACTGAACAATTTAATAATTTCATTTGACATGAATGGATTAAAAACTAAAACTGATCTTCAACTTCAGACGGAGGTGTCTGACAAGGCAAGGTTCAGCTTTCTATATTATATGAAAATGACAATTTTTGTGAACTGAATAAACGTGATAAAACAAACCGCGTGGTGATATAAAATCAATTATGAATGCAATATAGAATAAAATGGAGAAGTGAGCATTTAGGGGAAATTAGAAGAGTGATGAATGAAAAACCCGGATCAGAATCAAGCAGCAACCGTATTGAGAAAAAACGGAAAGAGAATGGTGAATGAAAGAAAAGAGGAAGTGAGAAGAAACGTTAAGAGGATCATGCGTATTGGGCGATTTGCTCAACGAGTGTGTCGATCGAAGCAAGACTGGCTGCTTTTGATCCATGACACATGTCTTTTTGAGCTGTTGGCATATTTTCATCGCAATGAATTGGGTGGTATATATGGACGAGTCCAGGTTCAGGTGATCGGATGACACGTAATCGACCGTTTTTGATGGCCTAGAAGTTTAACAATTAGGAATGCTATTTGGTTTTCATTGATAGAACCTAATTCTTCGCAGTTTTCAAAAAAAAAAACTCACTTTTTCGAACAAATCGACATCTTCCTTTCCCCACCCTTCGATTTTTGTATCGAATCCTCCAATGTCCATCAGATCAGCCTGTAAACAAAATTTTTACTAAATGTTTAGATAGTTCGAAACTCACTTTATACATAGCAGCCAGACCATAACCGAAATGCCTAAAGTATCCACGACCTCGGCCGTAATGGAATGCGTCGGCTAAGAGTTTATCGTTTTCTGACCAACTTTCGTGGGAGAATTCAGAGAAAACGATTGGGAAGTAGATTTGTGCATTCAGAATAGTGTTCGACTTGATTCGTTTCAAAGCGTCACAAGTGAAGAGCATATCCACATCCGTGAAGAAAAGAAGGGCATTAGCTGGAAGAGTCTCTGCACCACGCATCAGAGCTATTCCACGAGAGAAAGCAACGTCTCCCATCTCAATGACCGATACGGGAATATGACTTGATCTGAGCATTTCGATGGTTTCTCTGCAATTCCATTATTCTTTCGAAACCCTCGTGAACTGAAGCATACCTGTTCTCCATTTCATCTTCGCTGGAATACAATACAATTGTCAGAGAAACTGCCAAATCGTCTCCACCCCTTGCACAGATACTTTTCAGGTGCTGAGCAAATCTTCCGAAAATTGCCGCTCTTCCACGCAATGGCATGATCATGTGCAATGTTGGATCTTCGATTAAAGTGGAATTAGCTCGCATATTCGATCTGAATACGCCTTCGGCGAGACTTCTCAGTTTTCCAAATGTTTGCTGCACATATGCATGACGACGGACGGAGATGGTGGTTCGATTTGGAGGACGGAATTTTTTGAACCAAAGAAGCATGTCTAAAACATAGTCAACACCTTTCGTGGGTTCGACTCGCATGTATCCATATTGAAGACTCTGAAACTGGAGAACACGTCCTCTTTGGCGAGCGTTTGTGTTGAATTCGTCGAAAAGCTGGAAATCAAAATTCAAGTATTAGAACAATCCTTTTTAAAAAACCTGAGTAATTGTATCAGCGATTTCCGTTCTGATGCTCAAATCTACAGTATGCCGAGGACAGTTGACTCGATCGGCACAGAACAAGATTTTATTGTTGTTGATGTAGTCCCATGGCGTCAAATCAATCGTTCGGTTTGGTGTCATTCGAACCAGTGTTTGTGCTTTTGCGGTACTTAACTCCGAACTGAGAAGACTTCGCTGAGCACGCGCTTCCCGAAGCTTGATTTCTCGATTCCGAAGATGCACTTTTCTCATTACAGCTGGATCTTTTATAGGGTGAAGTGTGATGGCATCTTTCAGTTCTTTCATGTTCTTAGCATACGACTCCTTTATGGCACTTTGATTATTATGGAACAACTTCTGCATCTCGTAATTCCACGTGCAGGCTACATTGACATGTTTTCGAATACATCGTCCGAGTTCGACGTCTTCATGTGATGTTAGCATGTGTTGAAGACACGTTTCGAGATGAGGAGACACCTTTCTGAAACATATCAATGAACAGTTTCAAAAAGACCATTTCGGGACTCACAGCAAGGTTTCTCTACTCATAACAATTCCAGGCCCTCCCATACAATAGTTGTCTGTTGATCCAAGAGCAAGAAGGCCATACTCAGCGCTGTTTCCAAGTCCAGCTTGTCCGATGATGTGAGCTTGGGAAGAGTCTACAGATCTCAAGAATGCAGCAAGTTCTTCTCCTCTGATGTAGAGGTCGTCATCAGCTCGTAAGAACCAATCGTATTCGTCCGCCATATTCTCAGCCAACCATTTGACCATCGCGAAGCTTTTCTTCTGTGGCGGATAGGTGTCATCAACTCCTTTCAATCGAATAAGTGGCATATCTTCGTGAATCGATTCTGTACCCTCGGCAACGAAGATCATAACACGGCCAGGAATATGTTGAGCCCACGTCTTCCAAACATTGTAAGCTCGGGTATCAACATATTTTGCAGCAGTCATGATTGCGACCAGAATCAACCCCCGACGATGACCTGGAAGGCTTTGTGATCTGGTAAAGACGTCCGCGTCGGCTCTCAGACTGATGATATCGAGCTCTTCGGATCGGGAGACTTGTTGTTCTGGTCCGCATATTACCGGATCGGTGAGAGATTTGAGGGTGGTCAAATAGTGAGTGGCTGACAGACCGAAAAGAATGCCCAGTATGATGGTGAAGGTGGACCGTGAGATCGGCATTCTGCAGTTGCTTCGCTGAAACTTTAAAAAAACTAAAAAGAGAGAGACGATTTATAAAGGATCCGGTGAAAGGTAATCTGGTCTTGGAAAATGAGGAAAACTACAGTAATCTACCGATAAGACGACAAAATGTTTCAAGGTGTTAATAGCCTCTACGAAATTCATACTTTTACCAGGCATGAGAACATAGAAACATGTAATTTCTAACATATGGCCCATGTGATCTAGGGCTTTTTGTTTTGTCGATTTATCAAGAAATGACTCACCAGACGCATACTCTCGGTGTCTTGATTACCGGAATCGTTGAGCAAGAGTGTCTGCGCCTCCTCGTCCGTCGCCTTCTCTCCTCCGATCCGATACCGATTGATAGTGACACTCGTTTTGACTCTCGTTTCTTTGATTTTCAATAATATCTAATCGGTTGCTAAGTGTTTTCGTCAGGTGTCTCGATGGTGGTCGCAATGGGATAGTGAACTTCTTCTCGCGGGTTTGATGATGAAGATGATTGAGACTGAGTTGAGCAGGTGGCGACATATAATTGCGCGTCAGATGGCACTATGTTTCATTGATTTGCGTCGCTATTTACACCACCGCTGCTTCTCGTGTTAAAATTTGAGCAGAACGCTGAAACAAGACATCATAAGTTCAAATTTCAGATAATTTCAAAAACATATTTTTGAGGTAAACGGAAGAGTCCGGGAAAAAAGAGATAGGTGGAAAACTGTAAGGCAGAAAGAAGAAAAGAGAGCAGATAAATAAAAAAGCGCGAAAAGATCACATACAGAGAGAGCAACAGAAACAAATTGCAGCCACCTAGTGAAAAGAAGATTTTTGCAGAAACGCAGAATCCAATGAAACAAAGAAATAATGCTAGTAACGGAATGGAAGGAGACAGTGACTTAGCACTTGAAAGATCGTCCGAAAGAGAGAAGAAACATAGAAGGATAGGGCCCAGCAATTAAAGTGGTGTGTGGCGCTGGAGACGGGAGAAAATTCATGGAATTCCGGAGAACGAATTCAGAAAGATTCACTTCCTTTCGTTTTCTCTTATGAATGATTGTGGCATTTCCGATTGAGAGAAAAGGCAGAGTGGTCGAGAGTTTAAAATTGGATTTTTCTAGCTCCAGGCAGGACCTGTCACGAAGAATACGGTTTTTGGTATATTAGGAAAACTTTAATAGAATAGTATCTTTAAGACTAGATTCTGGTTTGCTAAACCAATTAAAGGTACATGTTTCGATTCAAAATTTCACTGACCCTGAAACTATTAAATGTTTTTTGCTACTAAAAACCCCTTGAAACCGTCTGTAATTCAAAGAGGCAGCCACCTAAAACAGAAGTTTTCTTCGCGCAACATCGTGAGAGGCAAAACTGAAATTTGGCATGTTCCTAATGTTTGAAAAAGACGTAATTACTCCATGATGAGAGGCGGAAGAAAATAAAGAGAACGAATTCGATCACAAGGTGGGAATGTACCTACTGACACCTAAAGCTATCAATCAAAGTCTTGATCAAGAAAAAAACAAAATAACATATAGAAATAGACTCTGACCGATATCGAAAAAATGTGTGAAACTTACAATGTGTTCTCTCTTTCTTTCTCCAACGGTCTATAAAAACAACCCATAGGAGGTTATTGAGGTTGGATGTGAGATGGGGAAGATCAGAAGAGATATAACTATATGATATTAAGCGTAAAAAAGTGTGTAATCCGAAATCCGGATGAATTACATTGAATCGGTCGATTCGGGGAACTTTTCAGAGCGAATATAAAGAGCTGGACTTTAGAGATTTAACTTTTTGAACTGAAAATATACAAGAAAAATGAGTATTGTTGTTCCGTAGAGGGATCACAATTGATAGAAACGAGATAAGACACGAATCAATGATAGCTGAGACATGCGAAGAAAAAAGAAACGGGAGGGCGAATAATTATGTTAGACCTCTCTGTCTCTTTCTCGATCGAGAAAAACGAAATAGTAAATGGAAGCGGAATCGCACAGATAGAAAAACAACATGTTGCAACCACCGACTGACAAGAACTTGCCGACAACCACGACATCTTCTCTTCATTTTTTCTTGAAATACGACCCTACTGTTAACATTGATATATCAGACAGATGAATGATAAACATTCGTGGGAGAAAAATGGAATGGGCGATGATACTGTATGATAACGAGAAAACTAAGAACTCCTAAAATTGGTCGTGCTTTTCGAATCACCTGCAATTGACATGAATGACTCAAAGCAGTGAAGGCAGCTGCTATTGAAATAAATTTTATATGTACCTCGTGATTCAGGAATTCGAAAAGGAGATACCAATCTTTTTATATATTTAACTGAACCTCCTCAAAGGAGGAACGGAAAACTACTTTCGCTTTTTTAATTTGCCGTATGATGAGATGGTTTGTTTTTTATTTATAGAGCAAAACTTAATACAGTTGAAAGAGAACCGAAATTCACTTTCACTGTAGCAAAATTAGTCACTTTACTATTTTGGCGAGGAGCGCATTTCGAGATGATGATGGACGACATAAAATGAGTGAGAAGACAGCTGAGAAACAGGTGAGACCTCGTTCTCGACATTCCTATGACAGTACTTTTTTTTGATAATAACCTCACTTCCTACACCATCATTTTCACCTTATATTGAAAAAAAAGTCTTGCGCGTAAACATATAGGTAAACATTTGGTTCAAATAAATTTTGGAGTACACTACTGTTTGCTTATTGGAGAAGACCAAATAATTTTAGTAGTTTTGTTCGGTTGATGCGTAAATGATATTCATGATTTGAATTTGAATAGAGGGATCATTCTGTTGAATAGGTTGTGAAAGGACAACTAAAGTCAAGAGAAGGGTTATGAACATTTTAAAACTCCTGAGCTCAAATGCAGATGCATTTTGATCTTAACAGTAGGCAAGAAGAAAAAGGCACCGCAAATCAAAAGTGTGTCAGCTCTCAAAAGGAAAACCCGTGACTTGTTCAATTCTAACACGCAAAAGTGCCTCAGAACACAGAAAAATCCTAATTTTGCACCTAACTAGTGCAAACAGACTGTTAAAAACCTTCATCGAAAATCTTGGATCTCTGCGTCATGGTTGTTCCAATCTAGTACTTTTTCTCCACCAGTTTCTCAAATTCTCAACTTGCAATTATCTAATAGATGAGTAGTGTCGTACTAATTGCGGAGAGAAGATGAATGAAGAAGGTCATGTAGAGCCACACGGTAGTCATGTGAAAACGGTGACCACCGTAGCAATTATAGCACATTACTACGAGAAGAAAGAGGTAAGAAGGCGAAAACACTTCTCATCGGTCCGTTATACGAGACGTTTTTTGTACTTTTTCACCAGCAAACGGGGTTGCACTGTGGAACAAGATTAACAAGACGAGGGAGACGCAGAGATCAGAGGTCGAAGGAAAAAACGGAATGAAATAGTGGCAAGTGGTACGTAGACTGGCGCAGAAAGCAGAAAGTGATTGGAGCAACTAGGTGTAGAGGAATGAGAGAGTGAAGACTTAGACGCACATGTCACTTGTAAACAAATCGTCTTCTCTCCCAAGGCTTTTGGTGGTTTTGATGGTGGTGGTGGTGACCAATGAAGAAGTCGAGGAGACGAGACATTGACTAGGATGACTGTTATAATAGTTTGTGTAATAAACACATTCATTCACACACAGACTCTTTTTTTCATAAAGCGTAAAGCGGGCGAGATGAACAAAGAGAGAATGATATGACGGATTCATCGGATTTTTTTCTGCAAAACCGAAAAATGGACGGTGTTCGTAAAATGTGACAGCTCGAAAAGCTTAGAAAATTCGTTACAAGCATACTTGTAACGGGCCGGGCCGGGCTTTTTACCAAACTTCGGAGGCCCGAAAAATTTTTTTCGAGTTTTTTTTTGATATTTTTTGATCAAACAGACAAACAATCCGAAAAGCACAAAAAATATAGAAAATTGTATTGAGAGCTCAAAATTCGGTTCAAAATTTTTGCTACCGGGCCTTCCGGGCCGGCCCGGAATTTTTCAAGTATGGTTACAAGGCAAAATTATCAGGAAAAAATGAAGATAAACAACTATCAAACCATCCTAGGTCCTTAGATATTCCTATCTGACCTCGTCCTCGATTTTATTTCCATCTGCGTTTACAGAACTCTAGCAATGAATCTAGATCCCACACCCGATAAGAGCATATGGTGAGGGGTTCAACAAAGAAGGAGAAGCTAAAAGAAACAACGATTTCCCACAGAATAGCATATCTTCCCCTAGAATTGGCTGAATTGAACTTGAAAAGGGAAACCCTATTAAAACGAGGTATTTGCAACATTTCGCGTTAACGGGGTTGATGGATTCTGGGAGAAGAACTGGATAACGTGATACTTTGGATAAAATGAGGAACGAAAACTGATAACGATAGCTGATGGAAACAAAAGGGAAACCTATGTTCGGTTGACTTCAAATAGGTGTAAATGTTGAGGTAAAAATACAAAAAAAAAACCGGGTGAGAATAGGAGACTTCTTTTGTACGCATATTCGTCTACTACTGCCTACTATAGAGGTCGAAGAAGAAGAAGGCGGCAGAGATAAGCATCACGATATGGGGTCGCTTGATTCTACTCCTTTTTTTCGTTGAACTTATTTTATTATTCTGGCTAAAGCATTCTAAAGGGTTATATATTCAACATCTAGATCTGCATTGAGAAGAAAAGCATCTTTATTTGAACCTAAGCAAACTGAGATATGCATTTCGCTCATTAATATGACGATATTTGTATTTCGAACACAAAAAAGGATTGTCATCCATGGAGAACATAATGTAGGACAAGCATGCTTATTTGCCGATGAACTAGCAGCATAGCTACCGACAAAACGACACGCTTCTTCTTCATCTCCGTCAGTTCCATAGAGGGGTCCAAGAGAGAGCGACAGAGAAGGGAGAAACGAGCCGCGGCGCCACTGTTCAAACAGATTCACACGAGTGGAAATGAAGAGGGTACTGTGAGTGATGGAACAGTACTGGAGAAAAAAAACTATACATTTGATGAGAACAGTTTTTAACACTCTCAATTGGTCTACTGCTCTCCCTTGCCCTTTCTCATTGTTTCATACAGTGGGAGGAAAGTGAAAATTGAAACACCTCCCGGAGTGCGAAAAGTGAAAAAAAAGTTTAGCCGATCTCCTTGGCGGCGGAGTTCCAAAAGTGTTTGCGGTCAGCGTGTCCAAACATTCTTCATTCGTTTGTTCGTTGCCCTTTATTTTATTTCGGGAGGTTAGGTGAAGGTGTGTGGGGGCGTTTCAAGAATCTGAGAACGCCGTTATTAGAAAAGCCAAAAGAAAAGGATGAAACTGTGAACATTTTGTATAATTAGAAACTATAGATGACCTAGATTTAAATAGAGAACGAACTATATATTTTCTAACTTAGAAAAGGAATAAGCGAGATCTTGGGATCATTTCAAATGAAAATTAGAAATGGTCAGTTCCATATTTAATCTGAGCACACAAACTCAAGCTTGATCGCGTCCATCGAGATCGTGCAAACTGCACCTACTTGTCAAATGAATTTGTCAAGGCTGATAATTTAATTTTCTAGACCCTCCCAACCCTGTTTGAACTATCTCGAGTGTGGAAAATGGCAGATCAAAGACTTGTTTCTTCAAACAAAACTATGCGTTTCGTTTATGATAGCGATTATCTTGTTTTCGTTTTCTTATCACCACAAATTTAATAAGAGAACAGAAAATAAACTATGTGAGAAATGTACAGGGTGGATACTAAATACTGATACACAACTTTGCGCCAACTTATACGCCTGCACAAAAGCGCAACTGACTGCAATTGTTCAAAATGTTGTTAATCACATCTTCTTTTATATATTTGCAAACTTTCATGTATTTTCCTCCATTTTGAAAAAAATGGCGCGAGCTTTACCGTACCCAGTAGAGATAATTAAAGTGTTAAAAAGGGTACGTTTAACTAACACGCCGTCAAAAAGCCCAAGGTGCCGAGATTCTTGGTTCGAAGGACTGTATTACGTTACCAGAGACTTCGGCTTCAAGATAACTTTTACACATCTGGTCATCCACTCACCGTGACCACTCCGGCTGTCGTTAAAGCTGGCCGAGAGAGAATCCGTCTAAATCCACAACATCTCCTCGGCGGCACGCTAGCCATTTTCAAAAAATTTGGATCTAAGCCAAGGGTCGTGCCGCAGACACTCAACAGTGGTTCAAGGGCAATTTTCCAGAGTTGGTATAGGTTGCAGAAAAGCAGGCTCCGTCGCCATATTTGAACCAATTAGACTATGTCGTCTAGGGATATTTTAGCCAGAGGGTCTTCACGGAAAACTACCCAAGTTTGGATGCTTTAATGGTTGCCCACGAGAAATTATGAGAGGCTCTTCAGCCAAAACGCCTGCGTGCCGTGATCGACTCTTCTCTGGAAGGAATCGAGTTGTCATCAGAGCCGATGGTTTAAGATTTGAAAACTATAGTCAAATTTTGTTTCTCTATCGTTCCAATAATCTTCCGTTAAAGTTTCAGCAGTTTTCAATGTTTTTCAAGCGAGTTATGATGCCTTGAACGTGTATCAGTATTTAGTATCCACCCTGTAACAACCCCCTTGTCTAAAGTGCACAATGAATAGGACGAATACTGGTACTAAGACAATACAAGGAGGACGATCTAAGAAGAAAACCGACTGAAGACGTGAAAAGGACAATGACAGTGTTTGTGTCGGACCTGTTAGATGCTCACTCTTGCAAATGGACCATTGAAATCATAAAAGAAAAAGACGGGAGAGAGAGAGAAGACAATGTATCGTAAATGAATTGGTGTCAACAGTGGGCCCACACTGCTCAATCTCCCTTGACCGCAGTCGACCGGAGAAGAGGTGATTGCGTTGAGGAAGATAGAATTCTAAGAAGGTGGAAAAAAGGAGGAACACAACACCAAACTGCGCAACATACGTCTGTGTGAACCTCCTGCGCAACACCGCATACGAGATTAGGAGGCGGAGGAAATGACGGTATCCGGATGAATGGCAGCAAGTGCCTACGAATTCTGATACATTACGGGATTATAAGTCAGAGATTGGTAAGAACACTCGTCGAAGATTTACTGTAACTTATTGAGAATCTTAGCACTAAACAGCGATGTACTTCTTTCAGGATAACGCTCGCTAGGAAGGCGTTCTCAGAAGTACGTATATTCGGAAAGATCTTTGATGGACTGTGTCTACACCTTCTCGATCGGATGACGTCCTGGCATTATGCCAGACGCGAAAGCATGTACTTTCAAGAGATGTTTCAAGTTTTTGCGTCCTCCAAAATTAATGTGATGAGTGAGAGTAAAATAAGAAAAGAACACTAGTTAAGCAAGTAATGACATATATGGTGGAAACGGTTTTATAAATGACACTCAAATATTTGATTCTAAGTAGGCCTGGAAAGTAAATTCGAAATGATGGCTGGGCATGACGTCTCTTTTTGGTTTTTTACATACTTTGAGTGACACACGAAAACGTGGCAAAAAGCGTTGAGGTTGGTAGACACCAAGGTCGGGCATGACCGGAGATACGAAACATATTTATCCTTGTCTCGTCGTACAGGTGCACTTTAGCTAGAGAGACCCTAACACAAAAATCTCATTTGATTACCAAACTAGGCATGTACACATACACACCAAACATCGACACGTCCTCGAATCCGAAACGAAATGAAACGACGGTGATGGAGGAAGAGGAATAGGGAAAACGATTCGGAATCGAGGAAGACAGATTCAAGTTGATTTGCAAACGAACGGAATTGCCATGAGCGCCTGTTAGAAAGTTGTGGCATCATAGGAAGATTGGAATTGATTCTGGCGCAATCATTTCTAGGAATAGGAGACAACCGAAAACGGATAGCATAGTAGATTAGTGAGAGAACAAGAGGAGGAGAATATAGTTAATGTTTAAACGAGACTGATTGCCGTTTCTTGATAGGCTTTTTTGTTCGAAATCCGACTTATTCTTTCCTCTTCACCCATAGACACTGGATCGTAATAAGACCGCGGCGAGATTTCACTCAGGTATGATTGATAGAGTGTATATCTCATGAATCGACGATGGACGTTTTGGCAGGAAAATCACAATTGCGAAGAAACATCTGGAGAACACAATAAAGATGTAACAGTTGCAGCTGGGTAATTCGGTGGGCGCCAACAAAGACGACGGAGTTCAAACAAGTTCAAATAGTGTCTTTCAGAGAATGTAGGTTCTTCGGCTAAACGCGCGAAATGATCACGCAGTTCTTTGATCAGCGAAATAGTAACTTGAGCTTGCGTAAGCTCCAAATCACAACTTGTACAAAAGTTCACACAAAACAATGAGCTATGTCGTTGCAGTCCAAGCAATGCTCGACTAGGGTTTCCATTTGGGGGGCGATTCACCCGCCCGCACCCACCCGGGGGGCTCACCCTCCGCGGCCCCCCGTTGACCCCCCCCCCCCCCGCGAATATTTAAGTGAGGAAAATATTATTTTTTTTTGTAGTTTTTTGATTTGAGAAACTCAGTTTTTCTTGGAAAATACGTGATTATCCTTAAAAATTTTATTAAAATTCACACGCATTTAATTGCGGGGGCCGCGGGTGCGCTTCTTCACCCGCCCAAATGGAAACCCTATGCTCGACTACTTTGATCGTATGATAAACTGATTCGTGGTAGAATCGCCAGAAGACTTCCCTATGTCTTTAGACCTCATCGCCTTATGAATCCGGTTGTCTGCTTCCCCGTTAGTCGAGCTTTGATATTCTTTAATTCGAATCAAACGTATCGTTAACAGTGAATTCCACTGTTGCGCATTCCTCAGAAGAACATCAGACTTTCCCATCCCCATCAAATATCTTCTGCATCAATTTGCTCTCTATAATCGCTTTTCTGAATTTCTCCTATCACTTATTGCGAGACAATGACGCCAATCTGATGGTTTATTAACACCAGAGAAGGCATAATCATCATAACGAGCAAAAACTATTTTTGATAAGATAACCCACAATCAACCTTTTTTTGTTGCAATTTTCCCCTCGTTCATTGGAAACGCCAGTGAGAGAAACGCGGACGCGTTTCTGGTGACCCCCACAGAGGGTTCGTTTACTCACTAGACGGAGAGCACAACGGTGGGACGTTAAGCGGATTCTGTGGGCCGAGTGCGTACACACGAATTTCGCTTCAATTGGTCCTCCCTCGTTTTTCCAATACTTCTTCTTTCGTCTCTCTTTGTGCCCACATGTGGTTTTTTTTCCCATTTTCCAGGTCTTCACCTCACAACTTGTCGTTTTTTTCCTTCTGTCCACTACTTCACTTCGAATTCACTTCATCCGTAATGTAATGGTTATTCGGGAGAATCAAAAGCAGAAGAGAAAGAAGAAAAACTATTCGTTTTCATAATTATACGGAAATGGCTGTTTCGTCAACATATGAAAAAGAAAAACCAAAGGAGAAGGTTGAAGTTTTGGCAAGAGCATGCCAGAACTTCGAGCAACTGGCTGTTAAGTTGAGGTCAACAACTATTCTAGACGAATTCGATATTTTGTACGACATGGGAAAATACCAATTAGTCGTTGATGGACAGAAGACGCTGGATGAGGCAATTAAAGTAAAATTGACGGAAAGAAAAAACGGATATACATAATTAGTCATTTTTTAGCACAACGGAAAGAAACTAGTCGTCGAATTTTTGTTGCAACAATGCAAGGAAACTGCGATACTACCAGTCAACTCGGGGAAGATTATTGGGATACCAGAACAAGATATGCAAAATTTAAAGGTAAGCTTTTCTACTGAAAACTGAGGGTAAAAATGATAGCAAATGATCAAAACAACTAATTTAAACAAAAAATACTTTGAACGAATTCAGAAAAATGTTTTGCATCGTACAGTAGTCTTTGTTAAAGGCACATAACCAGAATCATAGTTTCGTGGTGGAATCCTACAAAAACTTTGAGATGTTCCTTTCTCATTTTTGTAACTGTTTCGCTCACAAATTGATTTTCCTAAATAAACAACTGTTTTCGTCTTTAAAAAAAGAATGCCGATAGAACTTTTGCAAATGAATACATTTTAAAGAAAAAATATAATATATCTCTGTTCAGCTCAAAAAAGTGTTTTCTAGAATCGGAAAAAGAAAAAATTACAGCAGTATTATTAAAGGCGCATGCTCGAGATTTCGTTTTCGTGGTGAGACTCACCAAAAAGTAAAAACCTAAAAAAGAAAAATCCCAATTCAATAATTTTTCAGATTCATGTTAGCCAGTCAAGCAATGCTGGATCTCTCGCTGGAAAATCATACGGTATTCGGAGTACAGCTAGCAAATACTCCGAGAAAATACGCAGTTTCCCTGGAAGGTATAATCTCGGCAGGTATTTAAAAATAGGTTTAAAACTCTTGAACAATTAAAATTTCAGAAAAATTGGAGAAGGAACTCTTGGTTCTGTGTACATCGCAGAATCAAAAAAAGGTGGAACATATGCTGTGAAGATCATCCCCAAACATGGACGTCATCTACCACAAGAAGCAGATGTAGATTATTTGAGTGAGTTTTTGAACTAGAACATGTAGAAATTGACATATTGTAGGGATGTTACGACATGAGAGGATCGTTGAGTACATGTACATTATCGAACCATCTGGAACTAATGATATTCACGTTCTCATGGAGTTTATGCAATCTGGATCTCTAAAAGATTACATTGACAGGAATGGAGCAATGCATCATGAACTGGTGAAAGCTTACACAAAGCAAGTAAGGAAAAAAATTAAAATTTCAACCTATCTAACAAAGTTTCAGATTTTGGAAGGATTGGATTTCCTACACTCGAAAAATATTATTCATCAAGATTTGAAACCTGCGAATCTTCTTCTAAAGAATACTCATCGGGAGAGGCTTATTAAAATTGCTGATTTCGGATCGAGTCGATTTGCATCACTGAAAAAAGCGCGACCTGGTCAACAAGGAAGAACTCCTAAATACACGGATCCTGGAGTATCTTTAGGAAGAGACGCAGCGGGGAGAAAATCCGATATTTGGAGTCTTGGGGTTATTGTCATCGAGATGTACACAAAATCCTATCCGTGGAATATTGAAAAAGAACATCCTATCACTATTCCGAGGATTCTTGATGAGACCCCGCCGAAAATTTTGGTGAGTCATTTGAAACGATGATGTCATTAAATGTTTTTTTTTCTTCAGAAGCATGACAATGAGAAAATAGACGATGATCTTGTCAATATGGCGATGATGATGCTCTCACCAATCTCTCAACGACCATATGCATCCACTTTACTTGAACTTCCAGTATTAGAAGAATCACAAGATGCTTCGGATTCTGACGATGATGATTTTTTCTAAACTTCTGGTTTTTCTTGTTTCATTTTCTGTTCTTATCAAACTAATTATCTTTAAAAATTCACGAGTTCTTTCTTGCTGTCGATTCTAGTCACAACCATATAGATCTGTATATAAACTGTTTTCTTTTTCAATTCAAAGTTTCCATCGATTTCCATCTGGTCGTCACCGATATTTCTACTTTGTTTCGTTTTTTTTCAGGCTTGAGACTGTTGATTTTTTTCAGACACTTGTAAAAATGGATATGTTTAACACGCTCCGAGATACATTCAGCAGTGTACAGGCGGAATTGAGCACAGGAGTTGAAAAACTTCGAATGAATGTCACAGCTAATATGGCTCAACAAAAGTAAGTTTTTTCAGACATTCCGGAAAAAATCTTGTCAGAATTCTCAACATCCATACTTACACAAAGAGTAGTCATAAATTTGCATAAACCGTCAGATGACGCATATGTATCATGAATTCGGTATGAATTGTTGCAATAGTGTCATTTTATCACTGTGTTAAAAATGCTTTTCTGGAGTTCTGAGCAAGTTTTTCTTTATTTTTATCAATGAGTCAATGATTATTTTCAGAGTTTCAAACGAATCAGTCAATGAAGTTTTAAATACTTCTGCCGGTAACGAGTTGTTGCAAAAGTGAGTTTTCATACAAAAAAAAATGCCCACAAAGTTGAACTCATAATTTCAGTTTCCAAAACCTAATAACGGAAGTAGAAGAGAATGGAGCAGAAGGTGGTCGATTAGCAAATCTGTGCAGTACTCGAATGGGAAGATGCCAACAAATGTGCAAAGAGAAGGCTGATGCAGTGATGGAAATTGACGATTTCCTACGGAATTCTGCAGAATTTGACAAGAAAATTCGAGAGATTAATAGCCAGATAATCAAGTTGACCCGTTTTTGCAATCAGACTGAGCAAGCTATGACTTATCTGGAAGCCCTTTGTGAAGTTGCTCACACTGAAGGAGAAGTAGATCTTATTCGCCAACAAGCAAGATCGGCTGCAACTATTGTACAAATCGAATGTGATTCCCCTAGTGTTCTGACTTGTAAGATAATTTATACAGTATACTCTTGCAGTTGTATATTTTCCAGCAGCAGCTCTTCGTACTCGACCAGAAGATGCTGCTAAAGCTCAGCAAGAAGAAATGATGCTCGAGGAGTTTTTGTCGTCAAAGAATATGCAGCTTCCATAATCGGTCTCCTATGGAGATAAATGAATTACATTGTGATTTCAATTTTGATCCCAGCCAGAAAAATTCGTTTAATTTTTATTACTTAACTATTCATCTAATTGCATATTCTAGATGTATTAGCTTTACTTATTGGTAATTCCAAAAACGCCTTCCCTTGTATTTATTTGAATATCTTGTTTTGAATTCAATTGCTTGTAACTTTTTCACTTGAATAAATTTCAGTTTTAGAACCATTAAAGTTTGAAAAGTTTCGAGTGAATCAAGCTCAAATTGAAGTTTTCTATGAGGTTATTCACCAATATGTAGAAAACGTGCGAAGCTAGCGAATCAGTTATCAAACGGGACAATCACTCTTCCTTTGGAACTTCATGCACCATTTGCCGCATTCACGAACACCCTCCAACTGGTTCATTTACTGAGTGTCATTTTCAATTTTCGACCTCCAGAAACACTTTCTCATCACGATCTATGTATACGGGAACGATGGACGAAAGAGTCTTTAAATCGAGACTGGCCAACTCTCTGGGATGCTGTTATCTATCTTTGCGTGTTTATTGGAATGCCTCCTGCCAAGCTGAAATACATTGATCCACATCATAATCTTATCGCCCTTGCGTCTTTCGTAGTCAACGACTACAACAATATCATCAGGATTGGGGTGAGTAGCGATTTCTTAAAAACTGAGCTCCTAAACTCAGTTTGATAATCAAGTCATGAAAATCAGTATAAAATCAGCATAAAAAATGTTGTTT